AAGTTGGTATCTTCATTAGAGAAATGATCACTAAACTACTACAAATCAGCTGTGTCAGTGGTCAAAATGAAAGTGCTCAAAGTGTTTGAGGGAGGCTAGATGATTTGAGGCAGGCCCATAAAAACTGTGGGATTGTAGCTCTCCGAGACCAAGGCTGCCCAGGCCTGTTGTGTGATCTCTTTCCATACACCTGGTGAGCTACTCTCTTTCAAATGTTCTGGTCTGTTTCTAGAGTCCAGTCCTGACATTAGCCCAACTTCATAGCAAAACAATCAGTATTATATATATTTAAAGCAAAGACATGATCGTCAATTTCAGAAAGCAACCACCAGCTGCAAACCCAACAGTCCAAGATCGATATTGTCAACATTTACAAATATACCGAGGAAAACACAGATGCCCTATGTAAGAAAATCCAACAGCAACTGTTATCCTAAAACAATTCCACTACTTTAATGTCTGTAGTAGAACAGTGACTTTATTCTATAGAACTTTCATTGAATCTGTCCTGTCGTTCACTGCAGTAGCCTGGTTTAGTAACCTGAATACATGCAACAAAAACACACTGAGCGGGACAGTGAAGGCAGCCAGCAAAGTTGTCAGTACACAACAGCTACAGCTGTCAGACATCTAAATCAGACAAGTAGTGCAGAAGGCCAATATAATCACTGACTGTCATGACCCCTTGCTCAGTGAATCTGAACTCCTTCCATCTGGGTGTCGATTTAGACTGTCTGGATTCAAGAGCAATAGAACTAAGTCATCTTCTGCTCCTACAGCTATCAACCGGACAGTTATCATTTGGACAACTGATTATGAATTTCACTTTATTTATAATACTTTCTCATCGTACATGTACCTTATTTGTCAATGGGTTCATGTTGTGTTAAATATATGCTGTAAACGTATCATATCTTTTACCTGCAAAGGCAAAGTTCCAATCTGAGACGGAGTAAAATAAATAGACCATCTCGTGTCATCCATCAAACTCAAACACTCCCCCGAGAAGACTCACCTTTCTTGTTTGTGGTGAAGTACTTCGAATCCGTCATGACTGCAGTTCTTCAGAACAGCTGCGAAAAGGAAAAATGGAACACAGAGTACGTTACTTTGCAGAGAAACACCGGTGTATGCTGGATTTAGAAGAGCTTACTGTATGTTTTCTCTGGGACAGACATAAGCAAAAATACACTGATAATGTTACAAATACTGGAAAATCTTCATTTCCAGTCCCATATAAGGAAATACCTGAATCATAACACTATACAGTACATTTACAGCTCAGACAATGGAATTTGTGTTGGCATCGAACTGACCTATGGAGTGAACCACTTCACCGAGTTCACTGAAGGATATAATTTTTCACCTTGAAGGAAATCTTTCAGCCCAGAAAAACAATATTATCCTTAATCTAAGGGATTTAAACTAAAAACCTGTAACAAACATTGCTATTTTAAATATATACAATGGTATATTAATCTGAAAATGTTAAACTGTTAAAATATATTTATTCCTTCAACATATTCCTGAGAGGAACCACTTCAATACTCCCGCAATTAAGACCTCAGACTCACGAGAGTACAAACTGTTCTGGTTACTGTCTAGAAGTATACAAATAACCGACTGTAGTCTTAAACCAACTAGAACAGCTGTACCAGTCGGAGAAAACCAGTTAACGGGTCTGGTTAGGGATGCCTAAAACAACTACAACACACTGGATTTGAACGGAATAGGCGGTGTGGCAATAATGCACATTCTCAGTAAGGCCTTTACGGGGGAAAAAAAACGCCCAGCCTATTCAGAAAGTATTACAGTTCAAAGTCAAAATCGAGATTTTATAGTCAATTAAAATTAATACGCAATCGCTATCGGTCTCCCTTGTCGAGCGCTGTATTTAGGCTTGACCTTATCAACTGACGCCTGTGAATTACATGTATGGAAATGTGGATCAAGCTCAAGGAAGGACGCCAGAAATGTTTATTTAATTTTCTCAGTTCTTATTGCATGTCCGCTTTTCCAGCAAATGCCGGAGAGCCCTGGACTGCGCAGCCCGGCTTGGGTGTGACCCGGCTCCCGCATCTGCCTGTCCGGGAAAAAACGGTGCGGTGGACTGGGCCTCCCCGCCGGTACCGAGGAGACGGGGACGCGACGCTCACCTGCTCTGGGTGATGGTGAACAGAAGTGCTGAGCGAAGAGGTGACAGAGGAAGCAAGATGCTGGTATCACGGACCAAGGGCGAGAGAGAGAGAGACACACACACAGGGAGAGAAACCGCACTCCCGGAAAAACAAGACGAGAGGAGGAGGAGGAGGGGAGAGACGCCGGAAGGAGCCAGCAGGGATTCCGGAAGGAGCCGACCGAACGATTTAAGAGGCGGACAGCAAAACATCTGGAGGCTCAGCGAGGGTGGGGAGATTTGCGAGCTGCAAAGAGGAGTTAATTTGTCTGAAAGCCTCTTATTAATCCAGTTTGTTTTGAGGGGAACTGTTTTAACTACTGGGGATGCGCAGTGATCATTGTTGCGCCTAACCAAGAACATCAACAACAAACCACAAGGACAGGCTATCGACCTTTTTTTTTTTTAAATTCATGTTAGTTGTGCCCATCTGGGATTTCAGCACTCCGCCTGCAGAGATCAAGGGCACCTCGGCGCTATGGCCGAGCGCGGAGCCCACCTCAGCTCGGCCTCGCTGGAGCGGGACGACAGGCCCTCTATCTTCGAGGTGCTCGCCCAGGACTCGCTCATGGCCTCGGTCAGACCAGCCTTGCAGCACGCAGTAAAGGTGGTGAACCAGCTCATTCATTTCCTGCTACAGCATCTGGTGTTGCGTCTGCGCCTTCTGCAATTTGCTCATAAAATGCTCATAAAGCTGAAATTTATTAGAAGTGTGAATGCAAAGGTTGAAGAACTAAATGTAAGGACCCACTTAACTGAAACACGTTTTGTTTTCCTAAGAGGGTTCTGTGACATTTACCTTGCAAAACAGACTTGCCTCCAGCATTTCTAGCCTCTTGAGGCCATGATCATACACAGGTTTTTACTATCCCTCTCCGATAAAGACAGGAAAAATAAACTGAACAGAGACAAAACTGCATTCTTGAACATGATTAATAGGCTTTGAAATTAATCAACCAGGGGGAGGCACGGTGGCACAGTGCTCAGCATTACCGCCTCACAGCGCTGGTGCTCTGGGTTCAATTCAGGACCTGGGGTGCTGTCTGTGTGGAGTTTGCATGTTCTCCCCATGATCATGTGGGTGTCTTCCAGAGGCTCTGGCTTTCCCCCACAGTCCAAACAGAGAGGGGTAGGGAAAAACTGGCGCTAGTGTGAGTGGCTGTCTGCCCTGCCATGGACTGGCGTCCCGTCCAGGGTATACCTTGCCTTGCACCTGTTGCTTGCTGGGATAGGCTCCGGCTCCCCTGCCACCCAGCTTTGGATAAAGCGATGAGAACATGATGGGCTGGATTAATCAACAATCACCCATTATTCTTACAGTGCCCCAGAGAGGAAACGTGTGGAGTTCTGCTGTACTGTCCCTCTTGCCTGTGTGGAAGTTCTGGATGTCCACTGGGGACGAGGGGCGGGGGTGGGCGCACCTGCTTGAGCTTCCCTGCACCGAGTGATCCGAGTCCCGTTCCTCCTCCAGGTGCTGGCGGAGTCCAGCCCGGCCCGGTACGGCGGCCTGTGGCGCTGGTTCGACGAGATCTACACCGCCCTGGACCTGCTGCTGCAGCACCACTTCCTGTCCCGGACCAGCGCCTCGTTCTCCGAGAACTTCTACAGCCTGAAGCGCGTGCCCCCCGGGGCCGGCGGGCGGCTGGCCAGCCTGGGCCTGCCCCGGCGGCAGCGCTGGCGCTCCCTGCTGCTGCTGGCGCTGCTGCCGTACCTGCGGGCCAAGCTGGAGAGGCTCCTGGGCCGGCTGAGGGAGGAGGACGACTTCTCCATCCGCGTGCCCCGCTCGGCCTGCGGCCGGCTCTGCAGGGCCTTCCTGGCCACCTGGCCCTTCTGCAGCATGGCGTGGGAGGGCTGGGTCTTCTGCCAGCAGCTGCTCTACGTCTTCGGCCGCGCGCGGCACCACTCCCCCCTGCTGCGGCTGGCCGGGGTCCGGCTGGCCCGGCTCACGGCCCAAGACATCCGAGCCCTGGACCTCAAGCCCACAGCGGCGTCCACCTCCACCTCCGCCTCCCCTCTCAGGTGCGCACCGATCCTACACCTCGCAGAGGTCCTCCCGGGGCCCTGCTGTCCTCTCCTGGCTTTGCCCCAGTGCCGAGAGGGCCGGCTGTGCACTGGTGCAGATCCAGTCTAGAGGAATCCGTGCCCGTGCGTGACGGACAGCACAAAACTGGACAACTGCGCATCCTTTGTGCATCGTGCCATGAGTGCTTCACCAAAGTTAATAGGGCATTCGTGTCCTGGAAAGCTTAGTGCCAGGGTACAAAAAAATGTTATCAAAGCTGTCTAAAATACCCACTATGTGCCTGCAGGGAATTATTCATTTATACCCAGTAAACATTTCAAGAGTGAGCAGAAGTGTCAAGGCAAGTCTTCGCTGCATGATCCCTGCGCACTTCAGAAGTTCAGTTTGGACGCGTTTGTGGAAATGTTAGTACGCCCAGACTGGCAGTGTGGAGCAGAGTTTAACACCGGTGCCGAGGCCCTGCGTTCAATTCCAGACCTGGGGTGCAGTCTATGTGGGTTTCCTCCCATGGTCCAAAGACTTACTGGTAGGTTAACTGGCCTCTAGGGGAAAAGTGGCCTGGTGTGAGTGTGTGCATGCCCCACAATGGACTGGCGTCCCTTCCAGGGTGTACCCTGCCTCGCAGCTGTTGCTTGCTGGGCTAGGCTCCGGTTCTCCTGGCACCCTGACTTGGATGAAGCGGTTAGAAAAGAAAGGGTTGGTGGAAGGTATAACCAATCCCGCTCCGGAAAAAAGAATTCCCTGCGGAACAGGTCAGCGCTTAAAAGAGGCCCCGCAGTAATAACTTCATTTCGTTTTCCTTTCCTAGTGCTGGGGAGAAGCTGCGCCATTTCCTCAGCACCGCGGTGGGGGGGGTGGCCGTGTCCATCTCCACCGGGCTGTCCGTCGGGGTCTTCTTCCTGCAGTTCCTGGACTGGTGGTATTCCTCGGAGAACCAGGGCACCATCAAGGCCCTGACCTCCCTGCCCACCCCTCCCCCTCCTCTGCACCTGGATCAGCCAGAACTTCCTGTGGGCAAGAGCGAGTGTCCTCTGTGCCGCAAAGCCCGCACCAACGACACCGCGCTGGCCACCTCCGGCTACGTCTTCTGCTACCGCTGTGCTTACGCCTACGTCAAGGCCCACCAGCGCTGCCCGCTGACCGGGTACCCTACTGAACTGCAGCACCTGATCAAGCTCTACTGCCCCGAAGGGTAGACCGCTGGAGAAGCGTCACTCAAATACTTCACAGGGACATAGCAACAGGGCAGACAGCCAAATCGACGCGTGATGAAAATGGAGCCTGGCAGCTTCGTTTCTGAGGCACAAATTCTAATGTAACAAGAAAGCGCTTTTCCCAGTAGCTTTGGTAAATTTAAACTGGTCATAAAGGACAGCAGATTGCCACGGGGTACCCAGGCCTGTCCCAGACTAATAAGAAAACTATACACATCCATTCTCATCTCCCATCATGTCATGGTTCCTACACTGTAGCTGAAGAGCACCGTACAAATCCGTGGATACTTCAGTGTACGTCTGTCAAAAAAAAGCGCGGAAAAAAAAAAAGTTTCAACCTGCAGTAAATGGTTAATATAATGCTATTAAAGTTTGAGAGTATTCTGTAATTAAGGGAGGCAAGGGCTCATTGTCAATAGGAAAGCATTTCACTTGTTGGTTCCCCTTAGAGGCCTACCAGAGAGCTACACAGGTGCCCTTGTGAAGGGACTAGGTGAACAGGAGCAGGGAGTATTTAAACCAGCCTATGCAAACTTTGTGCAAATAAGGATTACTTCCCTAGTTTTGCACTTCCACCCCCTTTCCCCTCCTAGGCTTTGTTGTAGAATCAGCCCCAGTGGCAAGACCCCCCCTACCCTTTCACCCAGGACAAGGACAGGTCTAAACTCACACAGCTTCCAGTGGTGGGATTAGAGTTCAAAGAGATGGGGAGGAAACAAAAACCCCCATATTCTATAGGACACCACTCCTTTGAATGAATGAAAAAGGGGAAAATAGGTAGTAGTTACAGTTTTATTCCCCATTACACCGTGAAGCAGAACTTGTACATCTGAACCATTCCTGGGGGAGGGCAGAGTTGAGCCAACAAATACATTCATAGTTATTCTTGACATTTAAGATCTTTATAACCGTGTAACTTTTTTTATTTTACACACAAGGTAATGGTTAGAAAAGGACATGAAGCATACAGAAGCCACCCATTGATTATGTTGTTTAGATAGAGAGGAAATTTTTTTCCCCCCCACCAGGCAGAATCACACCTGTTCTCAGCGATCAAGAAAACATGGACATAAACACCCCATCAATTAGAAAATTACAAGAACAGTACCTATAAGGTTACTAAACTCCCCCCTAAGAATCACATACAGCTGATCATTTTTTCTAAACTTGGCTGTTTTTGTTTTGTTTTTTTTAAAAGAGCTCCTCATTAAGTACAACAAACCCACCCATAGCCACAAGATTACTGGCTTTCCATTAGCCAGAGAAACATCCATCCACTCACTGTTGCTCATTCAGTTTGTCAGACATCTTGCTTTAGTTGAAACCTAATTATATGCTTCCTGTTGAAACCTCATCTCAAGTTCTGCACTACTACTTGGAGAAGACTGAGCAAATTCCTCCACACTACAACCATCTATTTGTTATTCCAAAAATCCATTTAGTATGTGGTCTGTACAGTAGCTATTGATGATTGTTTAAACACTTGATCTTAGCTCAAAGGCCGAGAAGCAATTCTGGTTAATAAACTGCAAAGGACTCTTTAAAAAAAAAAAAAAAGCTTAGCTATTAACAATGATCAGACATATGCAAAGACATTGGTCCATGTTCTTAGTAAGACTTCAAAGTTACAGGTTTGAACTTGGCATTTGACCACCGTTCCAGCCTTTAACCAGCACTCATGTGCAGTGTTTGTGCAGTTCATTGGTCATCAAGGTTATGAATGTCCAAAGATCCAGCCCCTTTCCAGCTCAAGCAGTCTCGAGGTTCCTCATTACAAAGGAGGGACGGAGTTCGAGAGTTGTTTGATTTTCCTGAAGACATGGCCACTTCAGATCACACTCCCAGGAAGCTCTGGAAAACCTCAGTCCTGACAGATCACTGCAAAATTCACAAAATCGCATGCAATTAGCAACCCTCCTTTAAGAGGCTGGATGTTCTTCAGTCAAACTAGAAGATCTGGGGCCTATAGACATTTTAAATAGTAATTTACCATTTTACCAAAACAAAGGGCAACCTCAGCCAAACTAGAGATCAGAGCAACACCTCCATGATTCACCTATAACCACACTCTCGAGCAGCTACCAGTTTGAGTACCTGCTGCCGGCAGCCACAGGGATGTGTCAAGTTGTACACTCCAGGTGCAGAGCCGACATCTACAGCACTGGTAAGAATCAAGCCGAATAACATCCTTTTCTTGTGGGCATTTACCACCTGTTGAAAAATGGACAAGGCAGCCATTAAGTACAGCCAGAGCCTAAGCAGTAATATCAAAGTCTTATTACCATACTACTCTCAAAAAGTGTTTGGAGAATTAAAATCTGCTGTTTTTTTACAAGTTTGGTGACACTTGTGCATTGTAGGCCCCGTTTCAAGAGCTATTCATCCCTCTTCTATGCTCATGTTCCTGTACTGGTAGATGTCTTTTTACCAGGTGGCCCCAACAGCACCCAGGATCATCGAGATTGAGTCAGCAGTACTCCTGCGTGTCCGAGGTTAAAGACAGTTTCTGGAGAGATGGATACAGTCTCATTTGGCTGTGTCCCCTCCCCGCAGCCCACAAGCCAGCGGCTCAGAGAGAAGATTAGGCACAATCACACTCCGGTCACTGCAAGCACGGAGCCACAGTACCAGGTCAGAACTCTCCTGTCATCACAGCCGTCCCTCACGGAGTACTGTGCCTACAGCTTCATCTCCCTTCGGCTCAGGGGAGTCATCCAAGAGCTGCTCACAGCAACTGGAGCTCGTCCTGATGGGACACACCGGTCTGCGGCAGCACACTGCACACTCTGCTCTTCAGGAGGCCGATTTCTCTCGCCTTCATGGGCAGTGCCGAGACTGCAGGCTTCTCCACGACTTCTAGGGCTCTTCCAAGAGGTCAGTGGAGCAGCGAGCGTGGCTGCAGTAGACAAGCAAGGACCCGATACAGGGCCTCAAGAGAAGAGCTGGAATTAAAACCGGACCAGAACTGCCCATCGCAGACTGGGGATTGCTGGCCTCAAGTTTCTCTCTATAAGCAGCAGCAGATGAAGGTCTCATCTTATGCAAACAGTGCTTACCTGACAAAAGCCACCCACTCCGTCTGAACATCCCACAGCCCAGGAAGCTCGCTGGTCAAAACGATTTTAAAAATCCGCATTAAAGACAACTGCCGCCTATAACCAATCACACGGTTTTCGGACTGTTACCCCGCGATACTCAAAGCCGAACCGCCAAACCTGCAATTCTGCTTTATCGACATCTCACCCGAGAAACGCCTCTGGCGACCATCAGGTGTGGAAGAAATTAGGGCTGTTCTGTATCGCGGAGGGTGGATCTAGGAAGCAGGGGCGCTTATTGAAGCCACATCCCAAGAACAGCACATGCGGCTTGCTGACTGCAGCTGTAGATACGACGACATTTAGCAGCGCTGTGCGATTTAAAGCTCTGTCGACTAATGAAGGTTGTTGGACACTTGAAGAAAGGAAACTAGCCATCGAAGTTCCCCTCTCGGTGTACGATACGTAGGTTTTATGTTGGCAGTGCACATCACAGATCATCACTACTAGTGTGTGTGTGTATATATATATAAATCCCACCATAATGCTGCTCGAGAGTAGAATCATTTTTGCAAGTGACGGACAATACTGAAACTGAACTTCTACTGAGCATCTGGAAGTTACTCAGACTCGGGCACAAGCTAGTTTAATGGAACAGAGGCCGTGCTGGTATCAAAACGGCAAAAATGAGTTAAACCGAAAGTGTCAATATCTACAAGCTTCTTTACTCACGGCTCATAGTTCGTTATCAAGCTCATTCTCCCCAAGAACAATTCGCTAAGTAAAACACCTAAAGAGAGCTTTTTCTACGCACTAAAATCGTATAGCCACATGGGGAAGACACACCTACCTCCAACATGTCCCTCGCTGACCGCTCGTCCCCCCTGCAGTTATAAAGGCTACACGCCAAACACGTGACCGGCCCTAACTGCGTGCAGCTGTTTCAGTTCTATAACAATAATGCACACAGAGAGCACATTCACTTTGAGACAGGGCGGGATTTTAAAACAGCGTCTAAATTGCACGAACAGAAGTTATAAATTCAACATCTCGTCACGGCCGAGATTACAATCGGCGCTGAAGGCCCAGATGGCTCTGTGAGAGTGTAATGCTGATCAGCTGTTCACTCTTCCTGCAGCGATCAGGCGGAACTATGACGCTGATGTGTAAGAAAGCGTCATTTCAGATCAAGGTTTTATATTAAAAGTTGATCAGTAAACAAGCCTTGACAAAATTCATATTTGGAATTAGGGGAAAATTGCGCCCTGCCTCAAATTATCACTGTGAACACGGAGTAATAATGTTTTTTTTTTAAAGACGTTCATAATAAGATATTTTATTCAAATGTAGCAATATAAAGAATGAGGCGCTGTATTGGCATAATCAAAAGGAGACAATTAAAATTCCATTTTTTTTTATTTGAACAGCTTTACAGATTAAAATCGCCGGACCAACACATACCAAGGAAAACACAGCTGGTTTTTCTATGTCAGGGGTTAGGAAAATGAGTGGAGAAATCCAGCAAGGGTTCCACAATCGTCGTCGGCCACAAAGGCCAGCTTAAACAACACGCTTTCCCCACACAGAAAGGTTGGTTCCGATGGGATCAGTCGGTTTCGCAGATGGATTTTCCACAAGGCAGCTGGCTGGTAAGAACACGGAAACCATGGAGACCAGTTGATGCATAAATAATCTCGTCTTAGGTCAAAGAAAACATATCTTGGTTTGCTCCACATCTCTCTGGCACAAAGTGAGATAATACCATCACGAGGCAGTCCGTCTCTGAACTGGACCAATCTAACTCAACCACAAGTCCACGTCGCCAAGAAACGGCATTTTGTTAAAAGTCTACTGGAATGTCTTAATTCTTGATTTTTTTTGTCAATATGGAATATAAACGACACAAGAGAGTTAGAAGCACGCACAAAAATATCTTTCAGATGTTGGCAGGAGATCTCCAGCTCCCCCAGGCCTGTTGGAATAGACAGTCCTCCAGAGTCTCCCTCAGTGCTGTTAACAACAGGCACTGCAAATCCCAGCTTGCTAAGGCTTAGGCTCACACAAACATGTCCTCCTTTCCCAATTTTTGAAAAAGAAAATGCTTTTGTTGCAAAAACATCAAATAAGAATATAAACTGCGAGGACAGCCGTTTTTCCAACTTGTGTATCTTTTTTTAAGAAACAGATATGTTTTGCAGCTCAGTAGTCTCCAAACACAATGTAAACAAGTTTAAATATAGGTATACAAGCGAACGCTTGGACAGCACTGAAATGGCCCAGTCAGAAAAGTACAGCTGCGGTATACACAGAATACTCCAATTCCAGTTTCTCTGCTAACCGATTGGCTCTTTACAAACTTGGAGCCCAGATTTCTGAATTGAAATGCACGGGGAGGCTGTAATTCGGTTTAATGCACAGCCCTTAACACAATGATTCACCACTTAGTGAGGCAGCTGTGTTTTTACATGTCACACTTTGCACAAGATTGTTTGCTTTTTCCCACAGCCTCTATTCTTTAAAATCCATTTCCTCCGTTTAATGGGATTGTCTGAAAACACTAGAGTCACCACAGACATGTTTAATGTTTACATCAAGAGTCGAATTGCCAAGTCACAAGTGACACCAAGCATGCAAATTGCAAAATGACAGCCGACTTAAAGGGCATTTTAAAGGGAAGTAAACAGATAAGTCTGTTTGCGGAAAATAAGAGAGCCCTAAGGAAAATCCTCTCCGTGTGTTGCAGTGTTTTAAGAAACAGCAGACTGCAGATTTATTTGAATTATGCAAATGCACCATCTCTGTCTATACAGAAGCAGAAGAGATCACACAAATGTACTGTAATTAAAAGTCACAGTTTCATTGGCTCTTCCCCCCCCATCACATCATTCATCTTCATTTTCCTGTCATACCTGTTCTTATCCTAGCCTATGCATTCTCATTTTCCACATTTTACATATTTCGGGTGGCTGGAAAATGGTGAAATGCCCCCACACTGCAAAAGGCAAAACTCACTCCAGGAGGAAAAAAAGATTGGCAGCTTTTCTTTTCAGTTGTTTCTGCTGAAATGGCTGATTTGGCAAAACAATTAAGCACAAACAACAACAGAGAAGAGCCTTAACCCCACAAACAGGAAATGCTCTCAGTGTGCAGTACAGTTTGAGGCGGATATAACGTGTTCCAGAGTGGTTAAGAACTGTTTTACACTTTCATTTCCTGGATCTTAGACATCTGAGGCCCAGATCAATTGCTAAATAAAACTAATCCTATTAAAAAGTGCTTTTGCTTTTACAAGCAAAAAAGGGAAGTTATGAACAAAAACAAAGAGTGAGTGGTTGAGTTTGCAACATCATTTTCGACAGTTTTTCCCAGAATCTGTACTTTAACTATTGTTCCTTTTTGCTCTAGGGCAGTTAAGGACAGAGCTTTAAATACAGAAACTAAATGAATTTTAAAAGGCGCACCTCCAACTTCAATCTTTTTTTTTAAATAGCCCTTAAAGCTGCTTACAAACATTTTGTTTTTGAGAGAATCCTTAAAGTAGGCAGGGCGAGACTACCCGCACACCTCGCCACGTGCCTGGTTGACTTCGCTGAAGAGTGGAAAACATTCTGACAGCACACAGAGATCAAGGGACTCTTCCCCACCTCCCCAGCTGTGCCACTGCTGCACAGAGGATGTGTGGGGGGCGGGGGCCCCTGGCGGACTGCCCGCCCTGCAGCTGGGTCTCTCACACAGCCTGCAGGCCGCGCTCGTGGCCGTCCAGCTGCACCTTGATCTTGTGCAGCTCCTCGATCTCCTGGTGGTGGCGCTCCGTCTTGTGGCGCACCAGCGAGCGGTAGAAGTGGATGGTGAAGACCACGAAGATCAGCCCCACCGGCACCATGATGATGGTGGAGGCCAGGGCCGCCTGCCAGCCGCTGTGTCCGGGCACGGTGGCGTTGCTCCTGCCGGGCGAGGTGCCCGAGTCCACGGGCAGGAACTTGATCCAGCACAACAGCACCACCTCCGCCAGGAACAGCAGGATGCCCAGGGCCGTGGAGAAGCCCCAGGCCAGCTCGATGTAGCGGTGCATCCTCTCGTGGGGCGACTCGCTGACCGAGTTGAGGTTGTGGATGTTGCTCACGGCCTCCACGTTGGGCAGGATGCAGGTGCTGATGAGGAGGGCGAAGAGGTGCACAGCCACCAGCACGGTGGTGCACACGCTGAAAGCGATGAGCAGGAACCGCGGGTAGTTGTACTCCATCTCCAGCTGCACCTCCACCATTGCCACCTAAAAAAACAACCAGTTCAAGATTCCAACCATTTCCCAACCACTTAATCCAGTGAACCTATCCCAGCAAGCGACGGGCACAAGGCAGGGTACACCCTGGAAGGGACACCAGTCCATCGCAGGGAAGACAAGCACAGACATGCACACTCAAATCAGGGTCACCTTTCCCAGAAGCAAATTAGCCTACCAGCATGAATAGGAAACAGCCTGGACTGTGGGAGGAAACCAGAGCGCCTGGAGGAAACCCACATGAACACAGGAAGAACAAAAAAACCCACACAGATAGTACCTACAGCCCCAGTGCTGCAAGGCAGCACTGCTAACCCCTGCGCCACCGTGCTGAACCATATTGGGATATTTTTATTTCTTAATCACAGGATATAAAGGAGGAAATATTACCCCCATACAAACTCCACACAGTTTGCTCCCCAGGTCTGAACTGACACCAGGCCCCGGCGCTGCTAGGCTGCAGTGTTAATCACTGCGCCACAGTGCTGCCTGAATTAGGACTCAGGCTCTCAAAATCCCCAAAGCAGCTTCTGTATCGAGTCTCTCTTTTCCCTGCGTGCACCTTACAAACCCGCCCCACTCCCCTTCGAGATGCTGGGCGGGAATGTTTCCTCAAGCCCGTCCTCACTCACAGCTGCACAGCTGCTAGACCAACAGATCCAGCTGAGCTACAGCTGACAATCGGACCGACCGCAGCCACAAGGAAACGCAGCCTGATCAACGTGGACACTGTCACCTCAGGGAAACAGAGCTAAAAACTTCATTTTTGTCAGAACGACAGGAGGCACGTCTCCAGGCAAAGAGGGGGGGGTGTTCAGAACTCCCAGCGCGGGCAGCTCACCATGGCGAAGCCCGACAGCAGGGCGGAGGTGCGTGACGAGGCCTTGAGCTTGGCGCGGCTCAGGTACAGCTTCCTCCAGGACAGGGCCTGCACCGAATGGTGGTTGGAGGTCACCAGCTCCAGGTAGCTGCGCCGCACCCAGTCCCGGTAGTCCATCCCCCCATCCTGCGGGCGCTCCGAGGCTCCGGGCGCCGGGGAGCCCATCGGCACGTTGAGCTCGCTGCTCATGGCAGCGCCGCAGACACTGGAGAGAGAGAGAGAGGGGGGGCGCGTTTCAGGGAACTCCTGCCACAGCCCGCTGGTCCCCCCCCTGCACGCCCCTCGCTGGCGCAGGCAGGCGAGGACACGAGGGGGGGACGCAGGAGGGAAGGAAGCGTGGCAGGAAGCATTGGCCGTGTGCACCGTGGTGCCAAAGGCACAGACCCGCCGCGGGTGAGAAAGATGAGGGCACCCTGGCGGGCTCGGAGGCCATCACGGCGCCCGGACCGAACGGGGCGCCAGCTGGTACGTGTCCGAAAAGGGTATCTGTGAGCCAGATCGCTCCCCTCCCCACCACCCCCATTAACTCTTCCTGCTTCCCAGCTTCCAGTGCACCGGCTGCAGAACTCACCCCGGGAACAGCAGCAGCAGACGCCTTCTCCAGACCCCCGAAAACTGGCCCTCAAGAAGACATGAGCGCGCAGATGCCACACCAGGGGGTAAGCCCAGCTCAGAATCCAGCCGTGTCCTGCGGGTCTCCACAGCAGGAAGGGAGCGCCAGGATCACAGACCTAGGAGTCATGGTGCAAAACTCCACAGCAAACACGCCCTTTAAAAGCGAAGGGAAAAGGACTGTTTTAATATTTCGTTGCCAGTGCGTGTCCTGTGTAGTGTGCAATCTCATTACCCACAGGCGTTATCATTTACTAAACTTAGAGGTACGATCTTGTCTAGACAGACTTTCCAAGATAATAAGAACAAATGTCTCGATCCATTGTGGAGCCTTTCACGGTCTCCACGGAGCAGCTGAAACATCTCGCTCATCTGCGTCACGTCTGTGCAAATGTGCTGTAGGCACGGCTAATTCGTGCGATGTTCCCACACATTCACCTGCTGCACTAAATGAAACACGGATTACGTAAGATACATTCTGGATTTACTGGTGCAGTTTTTCCCCCCCATTTTTGATGTAAACATTTTAACACGCGCCTCTACGCAATTTCAGAACATATTGCGCTCAATGCATTACTTCACGCTGAAATATCAGCATGAATAGAAAAAAAATACCCAAAAGGAATTCGGTTTGACTAACGCAAATAGGAGCCGTCGCAGCTAAGTATCATAGAGATCTGCGTCTCCTCTTCGCATGTTTCAGGAGACACGGATAAATTCGCGTTTCTCTGCAACTTCCCGGTGCCACGTCAGTAGCTACAGCACGGTCGTGCACCCAAATAAACCATCCTCATACATCCGAATAACAGCTCGGACACTATCCTAACCTGCAGAAGCACGGTCACCGTGAACCGTTTCACAGCTCGCCTGCAGAGGCTGCAGGAAACGCGACACAAACTTCTCCTTTGTGTCGGTAATCGCATCCTGTAGCTAAATGTTTACTACGTGATGTCAAGCGTTTCCAGAGCCGAGCCGGCTGCCTTCCGGTTCTTACCTTACTGATCTGTGCGTATCATTCCTTTGGTGCAGGTTCATCCACAAACTGGGCGGAACCCTGCCTTAATTTATTTAATGTTTTGATCGTAAGGGATGCTCTCTCCCTCATCAACACGGCAGCAGTACTCTGTTCCGTTATCGCTCTTCGCTGACGCGCCCCGAACACGTGACGAGGGTGCGCCGGAAGACTAGCCAATGCCGCAACGGCATCCCCGTCACGTGATCGGTTTGCCCGTCACCGCATCGACAGAAGCGCCAGATGTTCTCAGCTGCTTCCCAGGCCCCGTCACTCGTCCCTTCCGAAAGCACTAGTAACAGGTTCTCCAAAAGCGTTGACGTCGGGCTTTTTAACAACATAACAAAGGTTACAAATGAGCCGAGGCCATTAGGCCCATTATTTGCAGGTTGGTAGTTAGTAGTTAATTGATCCCAGGACCCAGCTGGTTGTCAAAAGAAGCTACAGTACCATAGTGGCTTCAACAACTGGTCAGGTAGCATGTTCTACACTCCTACTCTTACCACTCTTTGGGTAAAGTACTGCCTGTTCTTGGTTGTAAATGCACTTCCACATAATATCTAAACACTATAGTATGTACTGCATATAGATCGAGTGGTATTTGAAGTCTCTGCACTAGGCTGTGGTCATGTATTTATATAGTGAGCAAACTGTTATATCCACCTCGGGCAAGAACCTTACCAATAACTCGAGGATAGCCCCAGTGGGTTTCCCAGACACCCGACAACATACCAGCTGCCCATTTCACAACCAGACATCTCTCTCCCTGGGCAATGCTTTTGTTTAAATCAGTCAGAAACCCCATAATACTGCTCCTAACAGTCACTGAGAATACGTTCTCGAGAGACAGGACGCGCCGGAGCTCAACAAAGTCCTGGTGTGTCATCTTTCTCGAGTTGCCTGTTAGTGTGAAGAGAGCGAATGAGCTCTGAGGCCCGCTGGGCAGCTCGTAGAAGTGGAACAGGGGAAGCAGGAAGAAGGCTCTACGGCTGAAACGTTGTGTTCTCTTTCTTCTTCTTTTTTTCAGCATGGAATAAACCTATTACTTGTTCCTTTGCAGCCTACGCATGCTGACGCAGCTACCCACCTGAACTACAACCTCTTATTAGCATGCCCATTAAAACATGTTACATGTCATCAAGTTTGAGTACTGTTACTAAACCATTGAGTACATTGATTACTGTTTAAAGGCCAATCATGTTTAAATGGATGAGGCCTTAGTCCTTTGTAAAGATCATGAAATTAATCAGTATTAAATTCCAGATTAGACCCTGTGAGAAAACCAACAAAACTGTGTAGAGTCACATTATATTAGAACCTGGCAGTATAGATGAATATATTCAAGGTCCACAGAAAAAGACTGAAAAAGTACAACTTATATTTTCAAAGAATTTAATGAACAAGATAACATTGTGTATCCAATAAAAAGGGTAGATTTCTGTTTGGAGCAAAATATTGTATTACACTAGAAATATAATTTTCTGTGAAGCACACTTTTAAAAATGACCAATTTTTCTAATTGCATCATAGCTGTTTTAGATTCTGCCTAGTAAGTTAGCTTTTTACAAGCGGAGTTACGAGGTAGATTGTGAAATAGGAACATTGGAGAGCTCACCATGATCAGATTGTGCAGTACAGGACCCAGAATCTCCCACAACCCACCTGCACAAATCAGGCTGGTTCAATAATTAGTCTTCATTAATCTTCCATGTTAATAAGCCAAGAAAAACCAATGAATGACAGACAACAACCTTGCTCACAAGCCGGCCACCAGAGGGCGCAATAAGACCAACTTGTGGGTAGTGGGATGACCTCTCCTACCCCTAACCACAACACTGCTCATTATGTTAGATTGTTTTTGCGTTACTAATGTAGGTTGCAGAGACATTACATTTGCCAGCACATTTTGTGATGAACTTCCTGTTATGATGAAGAATACTAGCTCTAGTCTTCCTTTCAGCCACAGCTCAGACAAATAGAAAAGCTCAGAATTAAGAATTAAATACCGAAGGCAGGCAATTACGGAAGTGAAGAGCCCCATTTGGGTGCCTTACGGTTAAAAATGAGCAACAAGGCGGAATTAATTATGACCACTTCTGATATACTCATGTTTACATGAGAGTCTTGATCACAAGGAGTCCTATGAAATTACTGATGGAAAAGGATATAGAAACAAAGAGGTGAAAACATCATTAGTTTTGTTTGACAAAGCGTACAATCCCCTAAAACTTTTAGTCACGTTTCACTAGAATTTCTTGAAAGCCTCTGTAGAACTGCACTCTTTACAGTATGTGCCATTAAATCACACAAATAAAGGACACACTATTTTAGCTCTGGCCTTGGAATTACAGATGCTAAAAGCTCAAGCAAATTGAAAACCTTAACAACAACAATAAATGCCGCCACGCAAAACTCGCAGGGAAAACTTTCATCCCCGGCGAGCTATTGGATAACAAGCAAGGGAGCTTGTTCCCAGATGTTAAACCATTTCAACAGGAAGCCTCTAAAACAGACACCTTCACAAAGAGTGACCATGTATTTCAATTCAAACAAGAGCGCCTTCCATCCATTTTCTAACCACTGCTTCCAATTCAAGGTCGTGGAAGCCAGAGCCTGTCCCAGTTAAAACAACCATGAAAGCAGGATGTCGCTTACTGGGAATAAGTAGCAATCAATCGGGATAACATTGTAAACCAGTGAGACCAACTCTGGTTCCAAGGAGCTACAGTCCGGCAGGCTTGTTACAACTTGGGACACATGAGGTTTGATCAGTTTAAAATGTTCGCTGGGTCATGTTTATTCAGTCATGGCCTGCTGTGGGTCTTGAGAGCAATAAATTGATGGCTCTACCATTTGAAATGATCGCTGAACTATTCGTTTGCTCAAATTACCTGCTTCAGTGGTCATGTTATCCACAAATCTCCGCTGGAAAGGTCATCCTTAGATTATCTGGCCAGTTCTAGAGCTTTTAGCACTTCTGGAATTATGAGGCAACAAAAACACCCTTTACACATGTAATCTGAGTCATGCCGTCTTAAAATTTAAACTTTCACAGACTTTCAGGGAAATAAGGAAATGTGTTGCTCTGGAGAATCATTAAAAAATGTTTATTTTTTTAAGTGTTGATTGTCTATTGGAACATGAAAAACATAATACCTCCCGCAATCAAATTCCTCCTACAGAAACTGTCTCAGAACATTCTTAATTCCTCTTCATTTATCATCTGCATCTCAGCTACATTGTAGTCAGCTCTGGTAATGCCAAAGGACTTCAAAACATTATTTACAGAAGGACTGACGGGAAGTCTCGAGTTGTCTCGGAAAACCTCAAGCAATTTAAAAAAAATGTTTTTTTAAACAGGTCATACTTTCCCCGACAACCTCTCATAATGAACTGTCCACTGACCAGAAAACTGGGCTGCTCTTCGGGTCTGAAAAAGACCTCAAAAGGTTCTTTTCTGTGAACAGGCCACCAGACTGAGTTCCCAGAAAGTCTTAAATGCTGCTGCATTTGCAGATTTCAGGAAGCTGTGTGAGCGAAGCCCAGATTGCCCACTTCTCCATGGACACTGATGCTTTGCACACAGACATCTGTATGGCTTTGCAGTCCTTGAAGAAAAACCGAACGTTCAGAAAGTCACCAGTCATGAAGGGCGTGTTTGACCCGTTTGAGCTTGTTCTGAGGGGTGGGGCGGCAATTTTGCAGACTCTTCCCTCAGACAAGCAAAAACACGGGACACACCCCAACACTCACCGGACCTCGGCCAGTGAGACACGATCAATAAGGAGCTTCTGCAACCCAGAGGGATTTCCAAGTCAGGGGGAAATTCTCGCGGACTGGGCTTTGACAGTCGATATGTTGTGGCCACCGATTTCTGGTTTCCATTGCAACGACTCCGTGGCCACGCCTACCAGTTGCTCCGCCTCCTCCACCCAAAAAAGGTCACGGGGGGCGGAGTCTGCCAGGCTGGCCGCTCCTCCCAGCCTCAGGTGGCCGGTGGCCGGCGCAGAGGCGTGGGGCGGCGGCCGGAGGGGCGGGAAGTGGGCAGGCGAGGGAAGTCAGATACGGAAGCTCTCCCCCTTCCCGTCCAGGTGGCGCAGCCGCAGATACACGTCCGTCCCGATGCCCTGCATGGACTGCAGCGCGAGGGAGCCTCCCAGGTACTCGGCGTACGCCCGAGAGGTGGGGAGGCCGAAGCCGAACCTGGAAGGAAGAGCAGACACACACGGGGGGGGGTTAGGGGTTCAGCGACAGCCCACGCTAACAGCCCATTCACCCACGGACCCTGATCCAGAACCGGAACACACCCCGAGGCCCGGCACCAACCACAGAGATACAGACGTGTCCCGGAGACACGCAGCCAGAGTCTGAGCCAGCACCAATACTGCACGCCCCAGTCCTGCCAGCTCCTGCTTGTACTTTTCTTCATCCGGCTGATGGATTTAGGGCAAGGGCATTGAACAACGGAGCATTTTAAGAGGTGATCGAGACTGTAAGAAGTAAAGAACGTACAGACACACGCACAGTGCCGTGGGACGCAAAATACAAAAAACTGTTGCATACAATAAGTACAAATGAACTCCAGTCTTGTGTGTGAGGGGATGCGCCGAACCCAGAATCTGTCCTAAAGGCACAGTGCTGCGTTCGTGCAGCGGGTGAGCTACAGCACTGTGGCTTCCCCCTGCTGGGATCACGTCTCCGGCTGCACCACAGGGTGGCACCACTGACGCAGCCAGCGAGCTCTTGCAGCGCCGCCCCGTTCCCAGCTCCCCCTCTCCCTGTGCGCGCGGAGGTCCGGGCAGAGGCGGCGGCGGCTCATACCCGTGCATGGGTCCGGACTGGGGGCCGCTGTTAGTGATGGTGTCGAAGAAGTTGCTCATGCGGGGGTCCTGGGCGCTCTGCTCCGCCGTGCTGAAGTGATAGTCCAGCACCTTGTCCAGGATGCTGTGGGCGATCCCCCCACCTCTGTCCGAAATCCTGCAACGGCAAGCAGGAGCACGCGCGGTCTTTAACCCAAAGACGCCAGTCCATCGCAGAGCACGCCCACACTCACACCAGGACCCACTTTCCCAGAAGCCAATTAACCAGCCAGTACATCTTTATAATTAGGGAGAAAACCAGAGCACCCAGAGCAGACCTACTGTACGAACGGCCACTGCCTCCCGCAATCGGACACCCTGCCACCGGGCCACCCAGCTTTCAGTTAGCGTGATTTCAACACCTAATTCTTCAGGGAAGACCTGGCTACACCTGCAGCCCTATAGAATCACATCATAAACATCAAAACAGAAAAGAACTGTTTTGATCTCTATATAATCAGGTCTTCTTGACAAGTACAAGGTGTTTTAGAAGCCTTCCGATACACAGCACAAAAGGACTGTAATACAAATCTAACCTTATATTCATATATTTATATTCAATATAAACCTTAGTTTATATTCAGAAGAGCGGTATCTTTCCACCGGAAGAGGTAATGAGCTGGGAAGTATTTTTGGCATTGGGAAAACTTTCATTAGAGCAAAACCTCAAAAGCCATTCTGACAATGTTGCACAAGAAGGCACTTATCCGTTTGCAAATTAAAATTAAAGCTTTTGTGCATTAGCTTCCACACCTCCAAAACTGAGGTCATCTGGGTGGTTTAAGGTCTGCTCAGGACTCCACAGGAGTCCTCCCAGCTAATCCTAACCAGGCCTAAACGCAGCCATGGCAACACGAAAACAAGATTAAAATAAGCACCGTTTTTTGTATAATGTAAACAATTAAGGTGTCTTCCACTTCATTTTAAGTTGGAACTCTTCCCCAGAACTCTCATGCAGTGGATGGCATGTTAATGGCTACAACACAAGAGCTCATCTATGGAGGAAAAAATGAGGAGCTTTCCTCCTCGCTGCTCAAGCCAAACATTTCCATGTTGTTAGGCTAAATCATTCCTTCTGTTTAAACATTTCCAATCTCTGTAATGCAGCCTGCTGTGAGCTGCAAACATGAATTAATGTTCTCAGATGGACCATTAGGACAAAGTGCTGAGCAGCCTGTTTCTGTAATCCAGATCAGGCGTTGCCATGGCAAAATCGGAGGAATCCCAGACTGGACAATGAAAAACTATGGAGACACTACAAACTACACTCCCTGCTATTGAGTACAATGTACATCTTGCTACAAACTGCAGGACCTGAGCTTTTATAAGTTTTACTTCTGATACACTCTTGAAACAAACAGACTGACTTGAAACTAATTTTTAGATTTCCCAGAGATATCTTTAGTAATGAGCCTTTTAATGCAAACACCTCAATTTTCTGGTTAGATAAAAGATGAAAAAATTAAACATCTAGAATACCACTGATAAGTAAAACTGCAGAAGTGGAGAATGATCATTTTTTACACTAAGACGGTAAGTACAACACCTGCAGCAGAAATATTCAGGTGCTTGTGACAGAGGGTCCAGGACCCTTATCGAAACCCCACACTGAACTCTCCTCTCCCTGTGTGCGGAGGTGGGCTCCCACGGACCCCTCTCCTCAGTTCCTGGCGCCTGGGCACACTCACCTGATGACGAAGTCTGTGTCGTTGTTGGCAATGGTCACCACCAGATCGGGCACATTATACGGGGTGTCCAGATGGCTCTCCATGGTTGCCCTGGAAACAGACCACATAATATTTAATATAGTTAGCTGCTCTATACCCTTTCAGGGTGAGGCCACACCACAAGTTCAGCAGTGAGCTCCTGTATCCAGTTCAATCACAATGAACTCACCAACCCGGATTAGCAACCCATCTTGAGCTACCTCATGTCCGCTTAGATATGCAGGTCCTGGGGTAGCGAGAACCCTGGGCGAGGCGATCCAGCTAGAGCCTGCTGGACCAGCCCTCTGCCTGAGGGGCACTGGATTTAACCTCTGTAATACTTTTTCTACTGGCATTACCATTAAAGAAATTAAAGAAAGCATCCACCATGTTTATCAATTCACTACATAGTGCCTTCCCTTGCAATCAAGAAACCTCAAAGGGCACAATGGGGCACAGCACAGCGCTTTCACATGTAGAAGAACACCGTGCGAGGACAAACGCAAACATTTCCATCTCACCGAATGTCTTCTGAAACAAAGTGCTGTGTACGTACAGCCCGTGCTCCTAGTCAGGGCTTAACTGCCTGCCTAGCAGAACTGCGGGAGCTCCGCTGAATGCAGTGAGGCACTCAACACACAAGAGCCAGCATGAAAAGCTCAAGACGTCATCGAGTGGCCAGGACTGTGGGCAGGAAGGGAGAATCAGGGCAAGAACGCAGTGGCTTGCAGTGCCAGGATCCTCAGATGAACTCACTCACTTGGGCGGTGATGCCTGTTTATGGCATTTAGGAAAACTGCACGCTGAGACACCGGGGGGGGGGGGGTGTTCTCTCCTCGGAGGGAAGTGGGCAGCAGTGGACTGAAGTCCAGAACGGGCACAAAACACTTGGAAGTCAGAAAATGTTTCGGAAGAAAAACAATCTGTTTCTATCGTATCGGTTTTGACTCTGGGAACACGCGTGCCAACATGTTTACACGTTAAAATTAGCTCCCCGCTCAGACAGGTTCTTGAAATGTCAAGTCCACGAGCCGGGCATTTTCTAAACTCGGCCACCAGCTGGAAATCTAACATCTATCAGCCTCAACTTGTCTATCACTTTCACAGAATAGCTCAGTTACAGAGGGAAAACAAACCAGACTAGTGAGTAAAATGCACAGGAAAAATAAATTACATTAATTAAGATTTATCACAGAGCTTATTGCAACTGCTGAGGGCTCCATTTTAGACAAGATGTCGATTCATTTACCACTGTTATGGAAAAAAAAAAGATTCCTTTACAAAAATAACAAGAGACAAGTCTTCAAGTTTTAAGCTCTTGCTGAGTCTTCAGCACGGAGGGCCGGAGAGAAGCTCAGACAGCCAGAGCTGCGACAGAGGGAAAAAAACACTTGACTGCCGGCCAAGACATCCTGCCAAGAACACAGTGTTCATCAGCCACTGGCAAAACAAAGGGGGAGCCTGAGAACCTTCCCTGGATACAGCGGAGCAGGGCTGGGCCGCGGAAGGCGGGCTCCCGATACAGACGGGACAAGGGGCAGGAGCACACCGAATTCACCACATCGGAGACAGAGGCCCAGCAGGGAGAGCACTGACTATCAGGAAGCTCCCGGTCTCACGTTCTGTCAACAAGTCCGGTAAATTATCTATCAACAACCTGGTAAATTATCTACCAAGAAACAGCTACTTATAATCTGTACACTTACGTGGAAACAAGGCATTAGCAACATCTCAACACTGCGTATTCTGTCAGAGAGAAGCCAAGCGCCTGTCTGTTTACACACTTTCACAATCTGGCTGCAGCAGCAGAGAGCAATAAGCAGGCAGTCTAACAGCATCCAGCTGAAACTGGGGATGCTGGCCCATTAAAACCATACAGCCACAGGGTCGCAGCAGGGTCTTAAGTAATTAGCACCATAATGGCACAACCCGCCAGGGCTGAGGAAGATTTAACACAAGCAGGTCATGATCTGCCAAGTGTCTCCAAGCTGCAGAACTGCATCGCACCACCAGAAGGACTGACATGAGGACTGGGTATTTAAAGGCAACAATCCCTTCCCCATCCCCCAAATACTGGTCTTCAAGGACTTCAAGGGAAGGAAGGCAGGAAAAAAAATAGGCACTTGGCACCTGGTTACTTAGGGAATCTCTGGCCGGCGAGCAGCACCAGCGGCCTGTACAGAAAAAGTCCACAAGCACAGCAACACCTGAAGACAGAAGCGGGTGTAAACAGCCAGTCCTCACTGACAAACTGCTCTTCAGACCCTCTACAGGGATCTGCAGTCGGCCCGTGTTGAGAGCCTCCCGTCAGGAACACCAGTGTGGGGGGAGTGTGCACGCTCTGCTACCTCATGGCGTTCTTCAGCAGCTCCGGCAGGATGTAGTCCAGCGGCAGGGGGATGAAGGGGAACCGGGCCGCCACGTGGCCGTTGATCCGGACCCGCGGAGAGCCACCATACTGGTGCTCGCACAGACGCCTGCGCGGGAAACAGCAGCGATCAGAACAAGAACGCCAGACCCTCCCGAGCACCCCGACACCCCGGGCCTCTGACCGGAGAGGGGCTGGGCTACCCTGCGCCTGCACCTCCTGCACCTCCTGCACCTCCTGCACCTCCTGCACCTCCTGCACCTCCTGCACCTCCTGCACCTCCTGCAGCCAGGGGGCGGGCATGACGCTACTCGCACTTCATGAAGCAGATCATAATAAAGTCACACTGTGTGTGTGCTGCGACCTTCAAACGAACAGGAATAACGCATTTTTCCCCCCCAAACAAATGCGAGGGAACTAGCATGCCCAAAATAAAAAAAACAAACCAATAAATGAAGTTGATGGCAAGCAATTCTCCTGCTGTATTCAGGGAACACAGATCGAAAAACTCCAACATCTGCTCTCCATTAGTTTATTCCGAGTTAAATTGAGCATGATAAAGCCCACATCGGCACTATCCAACCAAAAGCTTTTCTAAAATACAGCACATAAGCACACAGCTGTGGCTCAGGTCCTGGTAATTTGTTTGCTCTTGTATCTGAATAGGTCTGTGTATTTAGGAAGTGCAAACATTAACATGATTGTAGATGAGGGGTTGTGCTGGACTAGATCTCGGCCTCCTGACAAGGTTGGCTGCACTTGGCCTTTGAAGACCGAGCTTATTGTTCTGGCTCAGCGGTCTCCTGAGATTCACAGCCGAGAGAGACGCAGCAGCTGCACGTTACAGGATATCGGAGTACAAGGTCTCCACCAGCAACACTCCGCGAGTGTGCAAAGGCACTGCTGTACTTATGCGGAGCAAGAACGACCCAGGCTCGGCCTGCTGGGATCACAGCGCTCCTGCCTTCCCGCTGACCGCCTCTCACATGGCATCATGCGATTCGGTATCAGACGCCTGTGTAGGAGCAGCACCGCGTCTCATGAGCCATTCATAACCTCGATGACAAGAGGCTACTGTTTAAGGGAGAAGATTCTGTACGTGCTGCCAGTGCCATCGAGGAAAGAAAAGGCACTTCAACAAGAATTCAGTTCGCCTACTATCAGCACTGCAGTACAGGCTCCAGTCAAGTCAACAACAACAAGGTTCAGAGACGGGCATAAGATAAAGCAAGCTTACAAACCAGCATTTTACACTCACCGGGCAAAATCCACCCACTTCTCGATGATCTTCTTCGGGGACAGACGCCTGCAGATGATCCCCACAAAGTCAGGCTGTGCAGGGAGACAAGACAACACACAACAGGCACCTTAAAAACACTATGAATCTGCTAATTCCTAAATAAGATGAGCTGCTTTTCACACATCAGGCCTCCTGACCATTTTGCCTTAACAGTTGTTCAAGCAGATTACAAGAGACACTGGTCATTAATCCCAGAACTCATTAACTGGCATTCTAGTTTGCAGGCTTTTTTCCCTGAAGATTGACTGATTGACCAAGTAGCATTTTTTTAAAAAGCATGCAAGCAGAGAACACTGAAAAAAGATCCCCACCCATCTTATCATGGGGGCCGTATATCTGCTTGCTTTAAAGGCTAGGTTGACAAACTGGTTCATGTATAACCTGTCGTGAGAGCATGGAAGTCTGCTTTTCAAAGTCTACCTTGAAAACCCAAAATGGATCACACTGACATTCAAGAGGAGCCTTATTTCCATCATGAATACTAAACAAGCATGTAACAGGAGTTAATGGGGGTTTCACACAAATGTCAGCTTTGCATGTCTCTCAGACACTGTGGACAATTTTTTCCCCTACTGCTGAAACAACACACTTGTAGTCTTCTGGGACTATTTTTGTCTCCACTGTGCAGTAAAACAGTCCAAGAATATCGTGGGATTGAGTCTAACATGCAGATAGTTGAATCCCTTATCTCGCAGACTCTAGGTGTAAAAATAGTTAACTGCTAGTTAACTGGGAACCCACTCCCAGGCGGCAGACTTCATGATTCGTAATGTAACAAACTTAAACAACCAACTTCCTAGCTATGCGGTTGTAACCAACTACACAAAATCCTTCAAGAAACTCCCAATTAGTCATCAAGCAATTGAGATGACCCAAAACTTCAATAAAAAAACATAAATCTGCAAAGGAGCTTGTGATGATCTCCTCATTAGCTCTGTAAAACTGCCTTCTTATGACTGCAAGGCCGAAACTATCATGTACTCCAGTATTTCACTTTTTCCTTTTATCAGTGAAAATCTACCAGAAACATGCCTGACCTGGTGATGTTTGTCTTTTTCTTTTACACTTGGCTTAGTTGGGACGTTTTTTCATTTGTCAGTGTACCGTGACTTCTCTCCTTACAGATGCTGGTATATGAAGTTAATCCACTAGTGATCACGTGGCTAGAAAAAACTGTTAAGGACAGGGGCTTTCGACAAAGGTGAGCCTGAGGCTCATCTGGCTTCTGCTCTGCTCTGTTCTACTGAAACAGCACAAAGAAGACGCACAGCTAATCTGCCTCCTCTTGCTTGCTGGTAGTTGATCAGTCCAAGAACCCAACCCCCCTCCATTTTATTGGAAGATACTGGGGTCCTGGGTTCAATTCCAGACTTAGGGTGCTGTCTGTGTGGAGTCTATGTTCTCTGCACGTTTGCATGAGTTTCCTTCCACAGTCCAAAGACATACCGGTAAGTTTACTGGCTTCTGGGAAAAATCGGCCCTGGTACCTGAAATCAATCCCACCTCATGCAGATGTTTACTGGGATAGGCTCCGACTTTTATATGGATGTTATTCTGGGAATAAAGCGACTGTGTAAAGGCATTTCAGAAAAACCTGGGGCAGAGCCAGGGACAGTGGTATGAGTAGCTCTTTTATACCCAAGACACTTACGTTGTCCTCGTGCAAGGTGAGATGGTGTGTGGCCAACATCCGGATGCCCAGGCGGGAGGTCAGGGTGGTGTCCAGGAAGTTGCGGATCAGAGCCTCATCCTGAAATGGAGGATCTTGGTAAAATATCGGAGAACCACATGTAAGCATCTCTACACACTAGTACACATTAAAATATCAAATAGGGAAAATTCTAACCCACATGCTATCTTACTACTTTATAGCCTGGCTTCTAGTGGCAGTGCAGTGGATATTACAGGTCTTGTTCAGGCTTGTTCCACTGTGTACAAATGGGGTGAAGCGTAATTTCCCCTCACCGGCCACAAGGAGGCGCTAATGTACCTGGATGTGCTTGCGACATTCGCGGAAGCCCTCGGCCAGCATGGTCACCACGTCCTTGTGGTCATCCAACAGCTGCTGCACCAGCTTGCTGTAACGTGCCTCCATCTCGTGGTCAGTGATCTGTGAGCACGAAAGGCACACTCATGGCAAAATACTGCCTGGTCAACCCGGTGGAGACAGCATCCACTGCAGAGGTCAGATCATTCATAAAGGAGCAATCAAGAAACTGAGTATATGCATCTGCCCAGACACATCCATTAATAATTTAAACTGCTGGTAACAGATGTGGATCAAATTAACTACAAGCTCTGGAGAACACCTCTATTGAACTTCACCAAGTATCCCTGAAGACACCGATAGGATTACAAGCATCAATACATACTTCACATGACAGCCATTCTCTGTACTGCAGACATCTGAACTATGTTTAGGGCAAGAACCCAGCACCTTGCTTCTCTTGCCATTTGTACAATCTAAAGTAAAGAACTTGCTAAGTGCCTACAGCATGGACCAGTGTGTCTCAGTCTTATCTGCGCAGATAAGGCTATCACGCACAATAAGATACAACAAAAGCACGTGCAGACTGCTGCACGCTTCAAACCCTTCATCAGCTACGAGCTAATCTGCGTTATCAGGATGGCCGACAAACACGGCCATTTCCACCAGTACAGAACAGAAGCACATTTACAGTACAGAGCAAAACAAGGGCTGGGTGGGATCACATCTCAGCTCGATATGGCAGGCGCTGAACTTTCACAGTGCCTGTGACTCTGCACTCAGTCATGGCTTCCTCCCCGACTGCTCCATTTTTAGCACCGATTCCTGCTCACTCACCACTGGGAAGTCGGACAGCATGTGGTAGGCACGGATGTAGAGCTCGTGCTGAAAGAGAAACAGCACGCGTTACTTACTAGAACTCCCTCCAACCAGTTCTGGTAACTGGAGCCCCAGGGGACACCAGCAGACATCTCCCAACTGTCGCCCCATTGATGCCAACCACCACCCTCACAGTCCCACATCACAGGGCAGCTGTTTACGACAGTGTGTGGGTGACAGTCGGCCCTCAGCGCACAGAATCCCAAAGAGCTGTTGAGTGCAAGAAGCCAAACTACAACAACGATTCAGTACTGCAGTGAAAAGCAAAAGGTGTAACATGAAAACAAGACCTGTAAATAACTAAATTAACAACTGGGCTTAAAAGTCTACTGTGAACACAGCTTTTCAAAGGATTCCCTTGTTTTAGGTATTCCAGCTGATGGACGGACCCAATTTTGAAAATACAAAATAGTAACGAAAAATATTCACTTGGTACAAAGTAGGCTTTCATTGGTCATTTCCAATTCACTTGACCCTCATGTATACTGAATTTATAGTTTGGAGCATTAACAACTGTACAGTGAGGCTGGACTTGGTCAAGAATCTACTCTGCTGGTGTCTTGCTGTGGAAAAATCCCTTAGTTATACTGAACAGCAAATGCAGGTATTCTTGCATTATAAAACCAACAAGACAAGAGGGGGGGAAAAACGTTGAATATGAACTAAAACACCACTACCTGAAAGACAGCCTATTGCTTAGCAAAGGGACTGCCTACCAGACAGCTGCTTGGTAAAATAAAACCTGGGGCATTTTAATGCAGGTTTCTGCACAGTACAGATACAATTTGGGCTGTATGGGTGCCCCCCCTCCCCAAAAGGATACTGTAAAACTCGACCGGTTTCAGAGAGAAGGTTGTGATGTTGTAAGGCCCGGGGTCTGGCCTGTGCAAAATGAGGAAGAAAAACCAGGGAGGGCTGCATCCGAAAACCAGCCCCCTCTTCTCGTCTCTCCACCCTCCCAACTTTCCCTCATGTCGTGAGCAACGAAAAGCAACGCCCAGGAGACGCCCGTTGTTCCAACCAGCCGAGGAGCCTGGGCCTGCAGATTTAGTAGGTAAAAGGTCAGCCACAGTCGCTGAGAGGAAGTAAACAAGCCCAGAGAACAGGGAGGGGGGAGAGGCCTTCTGAGAAGGGAGCAGCAATACCCAGAAGAGAGCGATAACAGAACCGAGGCTCGAAAGGAAAAACATCTCAAGACCCCCGTCTGTATTAAACACACGTCTCAAAACACTCATGCAACACCGCGGCGCTCGGAGCGTTTGACCATTCTCTCTGCCTGACCGAATTCAGCCATGCTCTCACATCACAGTCCTGTGGTCAAGAAAGGAGAAAATTGAGGCCAGCAGACAAGGGAAGAGGTCTTAGTCTCCTTCCTGTGAACCACTTTAGATCTTTGGCATGAATGTGCTGGAAATGCTATAAAATTCTGTAAGTTGTTTTAGGTCCTTTACCCCTGATTTACTAGGAACGGTCTTGAATGGTCACCTTTTTGATGTTCATATTCTTCTGTGGTCATGAGAAGTGCCGGCCAAGGTTACAGCTCTATAACGGCTGTGCACAGGAGAAAGCAGAGCCATATCACTTCAAGGCGTGAGCCTGGCCAGTACCTGGAGTGGAGAGCTCCTGGGAAAGTTAAGGGTGCAGCTGGAAGTGGTGTTACTGGGGCGTTACTCTGTTTTCATCCTAATGCCCCAGTATAGTGACGGGGACACTATACTGTAAAAAGGCACCGTCCTTCAGATGAGACATACAGTAAGACTGAGGTCCTGACTCTCCGTGGTCATTAAAAATCCCAGAGTGTTTCTTAAAAAGAGTAGGGGTGTTACCCTGGCATCCTGGCCAAATCCCCCCTTGGCCTTTACCAATCATGGCCTCCTAATAATCCCCATCTCTGAACTGGCTTCATCACTCTGCTGTCCTCCCCACTGAGAGCTGCTGTGTGGTGAGCATACTGGAGCTTTGGGTGGAGTGTCCACTATCCTATACTACTATACTGTATAAGTATAAAGAATTATTATTATTAATTACTATTATTTAACCTCAGCAGAGCCTTTTCAGGTGAGAGGCGCTGCCCCCACTCCCCACCTCTATCATCCACTAATGCCCCCAGCTCAGTGAGTCAACAGCCCTGCACCCCTGAGCTGGGATTAGGATCCCAGGGTGTTGGGAAACTCCCCAGCTGCACAGAGCACACGATTCCCGGGACAATGAGCTGCTGCTACTGCCCCTAGTGGATCTATTTTCAGGCTCTGCACGGTCATCATCCCCTTGACGACAGATGTGGAAAAACCTCCCACTGTTTCCACTTAAGCCTTTTCTTCCCAAGAAACCAAATGGAAGGGGGGAAGGGTTGCAATTCTCATTTCCCATTACAGAAGAGCCATTGCAGACGTACTGCCGCAACCCACTGTGCAAGACCTGAGAAGGCTGAAGGATAACCTGCCAGTCCAGCAGCGAAACAATCTGCGCATCAAGCAGATTCCCAAGAACAGATGGATGGACTACGCACTGACAGCAGCTCCTAGCTTGATCTCAGCATTTGCAGCCACTGATCTAGACCAGGGACAACCCAGAATTTACAATCTATGTTGGCATGACCAGTTTAACTGGTCAACAAATGTGCTTCATTGGAAATCCTGCTGATTGGAGATTTTCTGGAGGCCGGGTCTCAGTGCACAGGAGCGATCAGTGGATGCAGCTGCTGTTGAGATTGTCTTTCTGATTGCCACTCATGAGGTCTGGAGAAAAACTCCTCAACTGGAGCTCAGCACCAGGGGAACCTAAAACCCAGTTCTGCATTCTCTAACTGGATCAACAGGTCCAGCAGACACTCACCACCTGCAGGATGGTGGGGTTGCAGCCGATGATGAAGGGCAAACTCCGAAACCCTTTGATGCGATGGGCAATGCGTACAGGCAGCTCCTTGTGCAGGTACTTGGCACTGCTCTGAAAACAGAGATGGACAGCGATCAGGACACATCAAGCATCGTTAAAGTGGGGTTACCAGTGGTCTTACTACTGGATCACCAGTGTATTGCTGCATGATTGATAAACTGTTCACCTGCTATGCAGATGGACTTCAAAATCAAAACACTTTTGAGAATAATGGTTCGACTTTGCAGCATGCCGTCATGTACAGAAAGTCAAAGATTACAACAGAACAGGAAGCAACCAATTTTAAAACATGACAAGCCCTGTCGATCACTTATGAAACTGAGCAATGCCTTAATTCAGTGAGGCTTTTACCTTAACCCTTGATGGCCTGAGTTTGTTTTTGAGCAAAAAAGTGTTCAAATACTATAAGCCACTATGCACATCTGGCTCTGTAAAAAACAAACTTCAGAATCTTGTCTCATGTCATAACTCACTGAAAATCTTCCCTTCCTCCTCTTTGAAGCCCCGATTCAGAGTTCATAGACTTTCAAGTCCTGCCAGGCCATAAAACATTCAATATATATAGAAACGGAGTCATGTGGCAAAGCTCCAAAAGACCCATACACCCTCTCCAAAGTCCACGCTATCTGCAACTACATAGGATTTATGCTGACGACCAGGACAACCTCTAAGTATCCTGTATGTTTCAATTTGGTAAGATGTGTGCGTAACGCTGAAGATCTCATGTGCATGTGGCAGGGCACTGTCACAACATCCACATCTGAAGTTTGATACAGCATTCATTGAAAGCGTTAGGGCACTACGTAGATGCCAAATACTACTGAAAATATGTGCATTAAAAGAAAAGTTGTATGATGAAGAGTTTTAATCCTAAACAGAGATATTTGATGTACAATAAAGACTCCTTTGAAGAAGATAAAGAGCTTTAAGAGGGGTGTGCTCAACCCTTACACTCCCTGACTATCCCATCTGGAATTCCGATGGGAGAAGACTTCACAGAAACAGGGACAGCCCCCAACCACCCCAAGGAACACCTGTGGTCAAGGTGCTTGCCGGAGCCTGAGCTCCGATCACGGGTTCGAAACTCAGTCATGCCACTGGTCTCCACATGGGGAGCTGGCGTGGGGGGGGTTAATAACACAGGGCACTCTCAACTATCAACCACCCCTGTGACCCCCCCCCAGCCAGCACTGGGTGTCCTGAATCTCAGGACAGGGCTGTGCTGCCTGCACTGTGTTTAAAAACAAGCGTCCTCAAGTTTCTGTCCTGTGTCAGGGGAGTGTCCCCGAGCCAAGCAATCTTCCTGACTTTGGGACAGACAAGGATTCTTCAAGTTCCTCTCCTGCTGCTTCTCTTAGGATTTAGTCTGCCGATCGGATGACTAGCTTCCCCAGGCACGCTGGGCACTGACGGGAGACGTGGCGTACTCTCATCCACAGCTCTCTTACAGTACATATATGTCCATACCTTATCTACACATACCTGCTTGAAAAAACAATGGGCTGTGCAAATCCGGGGAGAATCAAAAAGGATGGAACTTCTAAATAAAAAAACAAGGACCAAGAGCAATAATTACCAGAATGTGGCTCCCATCTGGGGACTTCCCGGAGTACAGCATGGTAGCTGGTGTGAGTCGGACAGAGGCCTGCAGAGCAGAGAGAGAGAGCCGTTACAATACGCAAGGGATCAGGGGACACAGGGAGAGAGAGAAAGGACCCACAGGCCACTGACATTCACTCTGTCCCCTGGCCCTCACAGGCTCCAAGATCCCCAAGCGCCTGGAATATTCACGGCACTCCACTGGCTGTTCGCCAAGACACCACTGAACCAGGCCAAGGTGGAAACTCTGGCACTGGTACCATGAGTGGGCACGGGCTTTCAGGCCTCCATTTCATCACCCACCTCTTTTCAGCGTGGAATAAACCTTTACTTGTTCCTTTGCAGCCTACACATGCTGCCTACTTGTAATGATCAAGTTCACCCTCACTCACACAGCGCAGTGATCAGCAGTGCGGCCTCACAGCGCTGGGGCCCAGGGATCAATTCCGGACCTGGGGTGCTGTCTGTGTGGAGTCTGCATGTTCTCCCCGTGATCACCTGGGTTTCCCCCAAGTGCTCTGGTTTCCTCCCACAGTTCAAAGACATACTGGGAGGTTGTACCCATTGCTCACTGGGATAAACTCCAGCTCCCCAGCTGGAACTGGAAGTTGTGGTGAGAAAATGGATGAACTGCAGCGTGGTGACTACAGAGCCAACATTCCTACATGGCGTGATCCATAAAATGTATTTTGCTAAGAACGTCAAAAATATGTGACTAAGGCTAAACTGCATAACGGCCATATGTTTTACCGACGCCCATTAGTAAGTAAACATCCTCATCTCCGAGACTAATACAGTGCACGGGTTTTAAAAATGGAAACACTTAATTTGCAGAAAGAACAAGGTCACTTGTGTAGAATTTGTTTTTCCCCAAATTAAACATTCCCTATCAAACCCGGATATTGCTGCATGTAAAAAGAAAGGGGAGGCCGACATTACACCACCCACAGATGTAAAAGTCTGCAAACAACAACTGGAGTTAAAAAAAAAAGCGACCCAAACACAAAAGTCACCTTGAGACACAACTGTCATGTTACCGGTTAGGACCGTTGAGCAGGTTGGGAGCTCTCTTCTCGAGTCACCGAGGATACACTTACCGTTTCGGCCAATTTCTTCACGAAAGAAAACAAAAACAGATACTCCTACCAATTCTGTGTTTTCTTAAATATTACGTTTATAAATACTTTTCTATTTTACCGTCAAGACTGTTGCCGTAAATTGCAACTGTATGGATGAAAGTGCCAGGAAAGTATTTATTTTTCTTCTGAAAACGTCAACCTTGAAGCTCCCGTGAATAGCATGACGACAAGGACCATAAACCCTAAAACCCGGACCCGACCTTGACTTCACCCCAACACGGCCAGTCCAGCGCCGACAGGCCGGGACACCGATACCCCTCTCCGGACAGGAGGGGGCTGTTTACTTCCCACCCGACTGCGAAAATGTCGCCGCTCTCTCCGGGACACAAACCGGTCCGGGTTTGACCCAGGACCCGAACATCAACAAGCCCGTTTCGTGGTTTTCATTTCGTATACAGCTCAAGGCCACCCGAGGGGGCCGCAGCGGGGAGGGGGGGGTCTGCGTTTCTCCGAAACCGTGCACTTCTCGCCCCGAGTTCAAGTTCAGAACCACTTTCCTACACAACATGAGACTGATCACTGCATCGACCCCACACGTCAGGGAACCGGAGCAAACTGACGCTTTCGGTGCAGAACTGAAATGCATCTGCTGACTTCTGAACGACTTTCAATACGACGACCTCTGTGGTAGTTTTTGTTTTTAATTTTAGCAGCCGTCAGCGTCTGCGGAGGTCACAACATTCCTGGCTCCACTTGGGGAAGTTTATTGCCAATTTTGGGGTGCGTCTCCCAAAAACGTCCAAAAAATAAACAAAAGCAGAGGCTGGCGAAGAGCGTGTTACCAGGACCAGGGGGTCACTAGTTACTAGCATGCGTGCGCTTTGCATTTGCTCACAACAAAGAGATGCATCCTCGGTACAAACTGTACGAGAGAGAATAAAAGCCCATGTGTACCTTCTCTGCAGATACATCAATAGCAGACTGGTTGTAGAAGGAGGTAACGGTTTTGGACCGCTCCCGAGCCAGCTCCGAATAGCCTTGCATTGAAGTGGACCGGGACCTCCGGGAAACCCCGTCTGCAGAAGCAGCGGCGACCTGCGGTGTCCTGGAGATGAGGGACCTCCAGGGTCCAGCCACCGCCGGTCTGGCGATACCCGAGGCGCCCAGCAGCTCCAGAGCGCCGGCTCTCACGATGCGCCGCATGTTTATTATCTCCTGCGTCTGGCTTTACAATCCGACCCGGGGACCCCCCAGCCCCGCTTGCTGCCCTGAAAGCGCCTTCTTCCTCTCGCATTTACAGTCCTTCCCTCGTTCACCCCCAGCCTTGCTCGTACGGCAGGGCCTCCCTCCTCTGTCTGCTACACAACTCGCTACAAAGACCCATGAAGTGCGCCTCGCCTGGTGCGACAGCTCGCACACGGCGCCCTATATAGACTCCGGCGAGCCGGAACCCTCGCCTGTCACAGGACGACGGCACTTGTCCAATCCTGGGCCGGGAGGTGGGGCGAGACTGGCGCCGCCACACCCCGCTTCCCCAGCGCCTTCTCGCTGGCAATAGCACACGGGCCGGCGCGGTTGGGCGGCCACGCCAACTGGGTCGAGCTGAACTGGATGGCCCTTGCGCCCCAGACAGACTGACTGCCTACCTGCCACAGCACGACGGCGTCCGGCGCTTTGGCCGGGATTGGTAATAAACGCACATCGAGCCTCCACTATCCCTTCCATCTTCAAACCGCTGCATGCACTCGGGGTGGCTGGGGAGCAGAAGCCCATCTCGGAAAGCAACAGGTGCAGGACTGGGCTCCACGGTATGTGGAGATACTGGGACAGGGATATAAGCGAGTAGCTGATCTGCAGCTACAGTAGCCCTTCAGGATTACAGCTCACTAGTGAAGAAACACATGAGCCTGTACCAGACTCACTGCTCCTTCAAGATTGTTATCAGTGCTCTACATCCTGCACTAGTAAAACAAATTTGATTATTATCGAAATTGGAGGATTAGGTAATAGAGTAGAAGCTTTAAAAGAAACTCGAAAATATTTAAAATTCTGAAGTCTTTTAATGTAGACAAATGCAGAGTGTTACAGGCAGGTAGCAAAAACAAAGCTACAAAGATATGATTTGAAACACTGAGCTTGTAGGAGCAACACACAAGACACTTGTTGACACAAACCATTTACATGTTCTACACAATGTGAAACAAATTAAAAGGCAGTGTTACAGTGTAAAATATTAATCAGAGGGGGTTATGTTAAAGTTGTACAAAACTACTAGGTACACTACCTCATTCATGCTGTTGTCTGCAGTTTGGGACACTGCTGCTCTGGTATCAGTCAAGAGCAGAACAGCCAGATGCATTTTTCACATAATCACAATTTCCTGCATTCCCTGAGCATTAATCTCTTACAACTATTTAAAATACAGGGGAGCATGTTAAAAAAAAAAAACAGAAATTTGGTACACTAATGATTTACTAATTGAGGACTACTGGCATGGTCTCCTTTAAAGAATGTAAAAAAAGGCTACAAATGAGATGTCACTTTGCTTTCTGCTTTACTCCTTTGGGTGCCATCAGATAACCGATTCCAGGATTAAATCCTGCTGTAACATGTAGTTTGTCATGCTATCCAACCCATGCCTGCATGCCTGGGTAGCTTGTTCCAGACCCTCACCACCCTTAGTGTATAGATGTGTATCCAGCCCACAGAGGCCACAGCAGCCCAAGGTGGGGAGTCTGCCGGCTTCTTAACCTTCTAGACCAGAGGCTCCTGATCCCAGTCCTGGAAAAGTCATAGGTGTCCACTGGGCTTTTTAAACCTTTCAGACACCGGGCACCTTAAGACCAGGGAAAAGCTGTTAAACTGCTCCAATGAAAGTTATGACTGGATCAATGGGGATGTTAGCAGATACAGCCGCTCTTCCGGACTGCTGCTGGGGAGAAGAGCCCATGAAACAGGACTCTGGGCTCCTTCCCAGAACAATATGAATCCGGAAAAGCTCTGTGGGATTTTTTCACAAGGATCTAATTCACCTGGAGACAGCGAAGGCTCACGGGTCCTGCCGATCTGGAAATCCTTTCTTTCTACACCGCAAGTTGGCCCACACCTCCAGATGACACAGGACATCCCGGGGCGTCGGGAAATGGACACAAGACACAGAGGGAAAGACTTGGAGCCGGGGGGGGAAAAGAGAGGGGTCTTAGGAAAGGCAGAGGAAGACGAGGAGTGGAACGAGGAAGCCAGGAACCGAGAAGACTCCCAGCAAGCCAGATGCAAGGAGGGCGCCCTCACTCAGACCCTCTTCCATATCACCGCCATGTTCTTGTCCGTCAGGGCCACCAGGTACCGCAGCTTGGGGTCCAGGGCCACACTGTTAACCGAGGGCCCCCGTACGGGGCCGTGACCCTTCCGGACAGGGGCCGGCCACTCCAGCACCTGGCACGACAAGGAGACAGCTGGCGTTTTTGTCCTCACTGGGCAAGCGCCACGAACACAAACAAAATAACAAATGAAATGTCAGAGGACCGATGTCCCCCGCATGAGGAGGTGGCACGCAGACATCCTGGGGAGACACTGGACAGGCTCGACCTCCCAGCGCTGGGGGGTGATGCTCCTGGTGCTGTAAGGGACTGCATATTCACTCACAGAAACCTCATACCGGGATTATCCCATTCTTCCCTTTTCTAACAGCTTAATCCATGCAGGATCAAGGGGGAGACGAAGCCTGTCCTGGCAAGCAATGGGCGCAAGGTGGGGTACACCCTGCACAGGACGCCAGTCCATCACAGGACACACACTGACACAGACACACTACTAGCATGTCTGTGGACTGTCTGAGGAAACCCACAGCAGCATGGGGAGAACGTACAAACTCCAGACCGACAGCACCCTGAGAACTGAACCAAGGACCCCAGCGTTGCGAGACCGCAATGCTAATCACTGCGCCCCTGTGCTGTCCCACACTGGGATTATTTTTCTCTAAAATTAAACAAGGGGTATAAGGAGGAAATAGTGCTCATAAAAAGTTTACCTCCTAATGGTTAAATCTCTAATTCTTGGGGGTCTATGATGGGCTCTGAGCCCTGATTATGAGAATTGAGTTCCACAGTGGTCAGTGCTTATTCACACAAACAAAATCACCTCCCACACTGGGGCTCCTGGTATATCTGATCCCAGATCTGAGCTCATCATCTGACCTGCTCATTAGCTGATCCAATTGACCACTTACAAGCGATGAGAAGGCATTTACCTTGGCTGGCTCAGGGTGGCTTTAGTGAAAGGCTGATTTAGTGGAAGCTGATGTGTGCGTGTGGGCCAGAACATTCGGACCAGGAGAGAAACTGGGTACGATGACAGGGTGGCTCCTGCCCAGCTGTCGCCAAGTAACTTGTCTGCCTCCACCCATCCCTTTCCTAACAGCTTCTTCCACATCAGGGCCGCAGGGGAGCCAGAGCCTAACCTAGCTGGCAGCAGGCACAGGGCAGGGAACGCCCTGGTGGGACAGCAGCCCACTGCATGGCACACACACAGGCACAAAGCAAAGGAAGGCTGAGCGAGTGTGTTCAGGCTGGAATTGTGACGGTCTGCGATGACTCTCACCTGAGTCGGGGAGAGGAGTTTCCCAGCTTTAGCTCTGCTCTCTAGTTGGTCTTCGAGGTGGTACGTCCACAAACCCCCCTTCTCGTCCCCACACACCACGTACCCCTCACCTGCGGACAGGCACACACAGCTCAGGCAGGGAGGAAGACTCCCCAGACGCACAGTAGTCCCAGACGACCCTCCACAGCGGGACAGTTGAAAACAGACCAGCAGGAAGGTGAACAGAACAGGAAGAAAACAAGGCAGGAACTACAAGTGCAGCCCTGTCAATATTCAGGGGAGCTGTGCTGTTAGAAAGTGATCCGGTCAGAGCAGGTGTTCCCAAACCCCCGGGGCTCTGGTTGAGAAGGTTCTCCCTGGGCATAATGTTCAGCTCCAGCCGAGGTGGCTGGTCTGGCCCAAGTCTAATCTCTGCACAGTCCAGCTGATGCAGGAGTCACAGGAATGTGTCAGTTAAAGGCCACATGGTCAAGTAGACACAAAGTGGCAGCATGCAGGCTAGAGAAGATGGCTGAAATGAAGTCGGCCCTTGTTCTCAGGTTTAAATTAGCCAGTAATTTTACTGAGGGGCTTTCCACCCAGTTGTGCAATGGGGCGTCTCAGCACAAGCACACTTGGGCAGTATTTCTAGCCTATAAATATATAATTTGCTTTGGGTGTTTTTATTCAAATTAATGTACGCTCTTGGATTTAAGAAGCATCACGTGCCAGGTAAGGGATACAGAACTGTGCTGTCTCTCAGCTACAGCCTCTCCAGTCTGACCAGTTCTTTAACTCTGCAGCTTGACAGCCCCTAACCAAGTAGATCACCCTAAATTACCTGCTTTTTAAACAGCAGGAACACTTGCAAGTTACTGATCAATAAAACAAGTAATTTGAGAGATGAAGGGTCTTCTTATTTGTGCTGTCAGATCACCAAATGAACACACCACCTTATTAATTCATCAAATCTTTGATTGAATGGTTACCTACAATATCTGCTGGACTGGAGCTCTGTAAAACCAGGGCCGAGTCTTAAATAAATCAATAGCTCAATTAAAAAGGTCTAGAAAACTTGAAGCGGAGGAATTGGGGACCACGACTAAGATCGTAAAAGAAGGCAACAGTAATTTCAACCCATTAGACTTCCTGGGTTTTTAGCGATTCAACAACATAAGAGGACTAGGTGGTTCCTTGAGGAATCGGAGTCACTTTCTCGTTTCAAAGGTGCCCCGTTCTTCGGCCTCCTTCTCATTGGTGAAAACCCAGCACTCCTCAGGGCAGCCGGCGGTATGTGCGCACTCACCTGGGCAGGTGCTGAGAGACAGGTACGGCAGGTCAGTGCCGGACCACTGCAGCTCGGCCAGGAGGACAGCACGCACCTCCTTCCTGCTCCTGCCCGACCGCGAGGCGAGGGTCTTGCTCCAGCTCCACACGTAGATGGAGCCCTGCATGTGACTCTTGGAGACTGACGCAAAAGCATGGGACACGGGAGGCACAGCTCAGCTTCTTCGTAGGACGAAATCAAATGCTACCTTTCCTCACAACACTGACTCTCTCGTGAATTGCTCCTGCCAGACGAGCAGCCAGACTTTGCATAGCTCCTTAACGTCAAACAAACTCTGGGGAAGGCGAATCCGCACACCAACATTACAACAGTACTGGCTCTGTGGGTCTGTGCTTAGAAAAAGACTCTCGACAAGGGCCCCGTGAAAGATTCTGTGGAAACAAGTCATCCTATACAGAACTATAGTTAAAAAAGTGCTATTTGCATCCTAAAAGAAAAAAATCAATTAAGGGAACTATTTAGAGAACATTATCACTGAGCACAACAAAGTTTTTTTTCCACTGACACAGTGGGACAGGGCTCTCTCTCTCTCTCCACCTCAGGGTTGTATGGAAATGCAGAAAAGAAGCAGGACATACCTATGACGTCATCGCTGAGGAATGCCATCCCGTCAATGGTGCGGTAATTATTTTCCTTGTCTTCCTTTGCATACACAGGGAACAGGATCTCAAACTCACTGGACCTGTCAGAGAGACAGAGAGTGAAAGGGACGCGCACTGCATTCTGAGATCAGGTACTCAACCGGGCTTCTCCAACCCCTCACACAAACCAATGTGCTCTGCGGGAGATTTTTCACTGTACATCCTTGCTGCCCAATCCCAGCAGGAGCCCAGCAGTCAGCTCACACAGGTAGAATTTGCAACACTCATGAAACACTCAGGCCGATCTCTTCGGATCAGGTCGGACCCAACGCATTTCAAAACTCTTGGTCTGGAGTCGGTTTGACAATCCTGACGTCGCTTGCTCACCTCTTCAGCTGGCTCTTGCTGAGCTGGATGTCAAAGCAGTGCAGGCCCTTGTCGCAGGCAGCCAGCAGGTGGCGCTCTGGTGAGGAGGGGGGCATATTCAGGTGGAGGGGAATGGTGTTGGCGTCCAGTGTCAGTAACTGGCTGCAGAGAAACAAAGGAGCGAGGCGATGAACACACAGCTTCTAAAGCTAGCCAGCAGTGTGGACACAACACGATATCCTGAAACATCAGAGTCCAGTCTGGTCCAAGATGTCCGTAAAGGTTCTCCTGGGGTACCGGCGAGACCAGCACCTGTCAAGATCATTACTATTTGCGTTCTTCTGGCCGTTCTTTTAAAAAGGTCCCACAACAGCACAGTCAACGTATGTACATTTTCAGACATGGACCCATTTTCATGAGGTCTACAAGGTCAAGGAAGCATGAACACAGCGCAAAAAAAAATCAAAGCTCCAAGCATACTTCCAGAAGCCACAGTCCATTCAGTGAATGCGAGTACTGACTGTAAAAACACTTTGATAACAACCCTGGTATTCCCAAAGGACAAAGCTGTTCTTTTGCAGGAAGGGACAATGCAATAATACACACTGTACTACACACTGGGAGGCGCAACTGCTGATGTCATGAGGGGCACAATGTGAACAGAAGAGTCTACCGTGCCCTCTTTTCCCTCATATTCTCAAACTGAGAGGATCTGCACTGAGAGGATACATCAATAGAAATGATCCACGCCTCTACTGCCTCTGCTTCTCCCACATGGCCACACTTTCCTCAGGTCTTCGAATATCTACAGAGACCTGTAATTATCTGTTCCTTTCCTTATTCTGTCTGTTATTGTGACTACTCACTCCACGTTTTCCTTGTTGCTTTCTGGAGTCTGGTTTTAGATGGTAAGAAACATTCTTGATGATGAAACGCAGCAGACTGGCAGTACTCTCCTCATCACCGACGCCAGAGAATTCATCCTTATTCTGCATTACTGAGCACTGATGCAATTAGGCAGAAGGCCCACACCTCGTTATACAATCCAGGCCCTCTGACCCTCTTCTTTACCTGACTTTGAAGTTGTAGTCGCTGTCCACTCCACCGATGTCCCACAGCACGATCCTGTTGTCATACGCTCCCGCTGCGAGCAAGCAATCGATGGAAAGTTGTCATTTTTAGAGCTGTGCAACATAATTTCGCCATCTTCACTCATCAACATCAGTCACAGCGCAAATCCACAGGGATAAGAGTTTTCTTTCATAAGCACATAAACCAAATGGATTTTCCTTTCTTCTTTTGGAAGACAACCTTTTTCTCAGTACTCAAAAATACGCATAAAGAGTTATCGCAGAGGAACTGTTTGGAAATTATGTCAATGTCGGAGATGCACGGTCCCGAATCTGCACGCATGTTCTTTGCTTTACAACAGAATGAGGGCTCTCCTGAATTAACAGATACCAAAAACAGCCAGAGCTGACTGAAAGATGGACAAAGAAGGGAAGGGAACAGTATTCTGAAACAAGCAGCAGTGGGAATAATAACTCCTGTGCCGGTGTGTGGGTTTCAGCTCTGCTCTTTTCACTGGCCTCAGGTCTAACATCTCTGACAGAACAGAGCCGGTGTGAAGTTGCTCCGTCTCAGACTCTTTTAATGTGAAGGCTTGGGGCCAGTGGTAAGGCTCTGTTGGCAACTAGCAGACTCCGGAGGCAAAGTTTTTTCTCCGCAATGTCACAATCCAAAATAAGGAGCAATGGGACCAACACTCTGAAATATGGAAGATGCTTCGATGTTCTCACAGTGTCTCGCTGCGCCTGGCCGGGGCTCGCGTGGCGGGTACTCACTGAACAGGAAGCTGCCCCGGTGGGGGCAGAACCGCAGGGCGGACAGGGCCCGGCGGCTGGCCCGGAACTCCCCGTAGGCGCAGTTGGCCCGGGCGTGGATCAGCTTCACTACCCCCCTCCTGCCCCCCACCGCCAACACGCCGCACGGCCGCACCCCCCCTCCGGCGCGGGACATGGGCACACTGGACCACGCCAGGCAGAAGAACTCCTGGAGAGCAGAGGCGGGACGAGAGGGAGGAGGTGGAAGAGGAGAGACGGCAGGCGGGAACAGAATGAGCACAAATATTTTCATTTCACGCCTTTGCTTTCACAGAGCTGCCTGGATAATGACCAGTCTCCAGCCATCCATTTCCTGACCGCTTCTTCCAATACAGGCCTGATCGGGAGCTGGAGCCTATCCCAGCAAGCAACAGGCGTAAGGCAGGATACACCCTGGGTGGGTCGCCAGTCCTCCACAGGGCACAGAGTGACAGACACAGATACAGACACACAAGGGTAAGTTTTTCCAGAAGCCAATTAAGCTAAGAGTATGTCTTTGACTTTGGACTATGGAAAGAAACCCACACAAACACAAGGAGAAAATACAGACTCCCCACAGAAAGCACCCCAGGTCCGGAACCGAACCCAGGACACCAATGCTAGCTACTGCACTGTCGTACAGATAGTGCTCACTGGATCCTCTCTGTGTAGAACTTAGAGCTTCTCTTTGAAAACAGACTCTACTGGCCTCTAGTCAGCAACAGTAGTCCTGCACCTTGGCCAGTCCAGCACCCAGCTTGCTGCCTCTGTCCTCATGCTTGATCCCCCCCCCATGCCTGCCTAGTGCTCAGGGGCAGGGCTCGGACGGGGAGGGGTCTCCAGGGCAGAGCTCTGCAGTCTCTTCAGCAGGGAGCGTGGCAGGAGGGACATGGTCAGCCATCGGCGAAGGACTCACCTCTCCCGGGACTTTGTACTTCTTGAGCACCCGCCCCGTCTCGCAGTCGATCAGGCACACCGACTCGCCCCCGCAGGTGGCCACGGTGCGGGACGTCCGCTGGCCGGATTCTGCGAGAGGCAGGCAGCAGAGAGGACACTTCTTGACATGAAGCACTGGCATGTCACAGCACAAACTGGGAGCTCTGCGCAACCACCATGCTCTCACAAGCTCCTTTCTTCAAGGAAGGTTCAAAAAAGCTCTCAGCTTACCGCAGATGTATTACTTTCAGCAAACCTTCCATTTCTGTTGGCCTTTTTTTGCCTGTAACAATTGTGTTCTACTTCAAGGTGGATGGAACTGGCTCCAATACCGCAAAGAGTGATCAACAAAGGTAACTGCCTCTCACCTGCCCACTCATTGAGACACTTTAACACGCCCTGAGCTCCACAGCGGCCGACAGGAGAGTTAGCACTGATTGGAGGAATGGCAGGACTCTCTCCGATGTCACCGCAAGCCTACAAGTGCCCAGGAGGCTACAGGAATCATGTCAGGAATCAGGAAGCATTGGCCAACCAATCCTGACCTTACCTCCAGGAGCTCTACTGTTAGTTAGTAGACAGGACATGCCAGTTAGTGACAGGAACCAGGCTTCAAGAACGCCTCAGTCAAACTGCAACTGACCTGCACTCCCCATTTAAGCCGTTTCAAGATAACCCAACTGGATGCAAACATCTTCAATGTACACTAGCAAACTTCTTGTTTCCGTGTCCCACCCATCACTGGGTGGCAACTGACAGTTCCTCCACCCCACACACTTACCCCCACTGTCCACACTGGGCTCAAAGGCACAGGCCCACAGCTGGGTGCTGAAGTCCTCAGGGCTGTCCTGCTTGCTGTGACACTGGAGGACATGCAGGGGCTCCAGACACACGGGCTTCTGGGAAAGATACCAAGTGATGGGCGGCACAAGGACAGAGAGAAGGAAAAGTCAATTATTCAGGTTTCTAAGTGCAACTTTTGAAACTTTACAAATAAATAGCACAAGTACAGGGCATAAAATTTCCTTAATTAAGACAAACAGGAATTTGTGTTTCCTTATTTCTGAAACCGACTGCTACAGTTTGTACAAGAGCTTGCAAAACCTTTAATGGAGCGGACAGCTACGCAATGGGAGTCTTACATCATCCCCACTCCATCTAGCAGTGGGAGGTATGGGGACCGGAATAATGGCCACTCTGAACAACCTTGGGGTTTGTGCTTTTTCGGGGTGTCCTCTTCTCGCTCTCCGCTGGCTGGGGGTTTGTGGGAGCTTTGGTAGGGGTCCCAGGATGCCGGGAAAGCGCTGAGGGTTTTTGGCAGTTGGCGGTACGAAGGCTCTTCCGCGGACTTCCCGAAACCGACTCTTTCCCGGGACTCTCCATCGTCCTCTTGGGCCGGCCCGGCTCCGTCTGCAAGCGGGATGGTTTTTGGGGGCTGGCTTTGGGGGGGGCGTCATCAGCCTGTCGCTGTTTTTTGAGGGCCCCCTCGCTGGGACTGGAGGCAGCACCCTTCCTCTTCGCAGGGGTGCGGGGGCCCTTGGATCAAACACACAATGAAACACGGGTTCAATTTTCAACACCCTAAAAGAAGCGTCATCCCAAAATAATGGAACCCTCTGAAGTTCTCTCTTGCGTTTACAGCCTTAAAGAACATTCGCCCAGATGAACAAAAGGAAGCACAGTGCTGCTGTGGGCAGCATTGCTGCTGCGCAGTGCTGGGGCTCTGGGTTCAATTCCAGACCTGAGGTGCTATCTGTGTGGAGTTTGCATGTTCTTCCAAGGTTTGTGTGGGTTCTCTCTGGGTGCTCCAGTTTCCTCCCACAGTCTACAGCCATGCTGGGAGAATTGGCCCTGGTGTGTGTGTGTCCGTGTGTCCGTGTGTCCTGTCTTTCACCCCTTGCTTGCTGGGATAGGCTCTGCTGATTGGGAATCAGTGCTTAGAAAAGGATGGATGGGTAAATTGCTCTGTTAGAAGTACTGCATAAAACAATACTTTTACAAGACATAAAACAAGACTCTTACAGCGTCTGTGTTGTCTTTTACGGCGTCTGGCTCAGCCTGCTTTTTCTCGGTTCCCTCCTCCTTGTCCCCCTGTGCCAGCGTCTCCAGCAGCTCTTTAGCAATCCCCTCCAGCTGGAAGACACAACAGGCACAGCGAGGACTGAGAAATCCGGATACGAATGAACCCCCAGGACCCCCTGGCTGTGAGTAACTGCATTTGCCCAACTCTCGATCACAAAGCTCCTTTCACTTCGAAGGCAACACACAGGGGTGACACACAGCAGCCAGGTCCAGGGGAGGAGGGAGAAACTGCCACACGAATTAAGGCAGATCTTTAGGGAAGACCTGATTTTCCACGTTTTTCAAGTTGAATGATTTTAGTTAGCTTCTAAAAAACAGAATTTGGCCATACGAGCGAGGGGACAAAACAAACACAAATTACACACCTGTAAGTTTCTTGCTCTTTTGAACAGTGCCATGGGATCTTTAAAGTTTTTAACGTTTGCCATGGGATCTTGTGGTTCTGAAGACCAGTGTTCGCAGTCTCCATACTGGGGCACTGGACTGGAAAATTACTATTCCAGGAGGAAGTGCGTCAACCACTTGTCCTCCAACAGCACCACTTAGAACATCAGTCTGCTTTACCTTAGAGGTCTCCCGTTTCAGCCCAGCCTTCCTGAGCTCCTCACATCTGGCAAGACCACAGTCATCTCGTAAGAGCGAAAGTATTCCCAGTAGTTTTACTGCACAGCATCTCCAAGACCTCTTCTACACCTTCAAAGCTAGAGCTCACAAAAGGCAGGAAACCCAAGCTGTGCCGAATGCAAGCCACTCACCCGCCAGGTGGTGTAGTCGCTGAGGGAGCTGGGGCCGTATTTGATCTGCGAGCGGGCTGCCTTCACAAACTCCTTCTCCAGGGCCTGGAGCCTCTCGGCTGTGGGAGGCTCCGGCGGCCGGAAGCTGCTCTCCCACAGTGCCTCCACCTGAGGCGAGGAGAAGACCTGAGACACCTTTTCCACAGACAGACACACAAACCGATCGATTCTTGCAAACGGCCCTTCAGAAACATCCAGGAATCCATGTATGGTTTGCAGGAACCTGTAAGGACTTAACACTGCCCAACACCCTCCCTCCCGAGAGCTGATTTCAGACTCCCCCGTTGTGCTTCGAGACGCTTACCCGTTTCCGAAGATTCGCGCTGTTGACATGGCGCAGGTGACTGGCCGAGGAAGCGACGTCCTTGCCGTTGAACATGCGCAGTTTGGGCAGCAGGAACATCAGTTTGTAATTGTCGCTGACCTGAGACAAACACACAGCAGGCTCTGGTAATCTGCTTTCTCATCCAGACATGGCCATACACCGAGGTGTGTAAAAGCCTTTTAACTTTGCAGACATTTATCTATTATTGTTGTGCTCCCCCCCCCATTTGCAATGGAGATAGTTTTAAAACACACAACATTTACATTACCTACTTTTCCTGAAATATACTACATAAAAAAGTATGTTTTACTGATTCAGATTTAACTGAATGAGATTTAGATTAGTTGCAGGGTAAGGCAGAAGCAGTGCTGTTTAACGGGTTTGTATGAGCACGTGTCTGTGTGTGACCATGACCGCGCCGGAGCCTTACAGTGAGGTACAGGTTTCCCTCCAGCCTCAGCTCTTCCAGGGCAGTGAGAGACTGCAGTGACAGCACGTCCTCCATCTCATTGTCGGAGCAGTCGAGGGAGCACAGGCGGGGCAGCTGCAGACCGGCGGGCAGCTCCTGCAGACGGTTCCTGGAGAGGTCCAGCTTCTCCAGGCTGCGCAGCCGGGACAGCAGAGGCAGGGGCAGGTCCGCACTGCGCAGATCCAGCCCGGAAAGGCTGTGGGGACGAGCAGGGGGTCAGGCCCGGGAACACACACTTCCACACCTCCATACGCACAGTGGGGTCTGAAAGCATTTCTGCAACACTGGGCCACAGGACTCTTTTTTATTCGTCTTATACAAATCTTTTAATAACAAATGGAGTAATTGTTGGACCCAATCAGACAAGTATGTAAACAATTTTCAAGTGTTTACTAATTTAGAAAATGACCAATAAACTGGTAGGAGTGGGGCTACGCTGGAACTGCATTGATCTCCCCACTGTTGCAAAACAAATCACATGGAGCAATTAAACTGCTTATGGAATCAAACATTATCATCCCGTAAAAACTTAGACCACAGGTTGGGAATTTCAAGGCTGTGACCTTATAGTAAATTACCCTATTTTAGTTTTGTTCTAAACAAGTAGCACTGTGCTACTTGTAGTAAGATGCATAAATACTTTTTTTGTTTTCCCTCAAAACAGCGTTGTGGCCCGCAGGTTTAAAAAACCCTGGAACAGCCCAAACTGCCTGGCAGTGGGAGCGCTGGAGAGAGGGGGAAACAGACACCTGGCCAGAGCAGACACTTACTTCAGCCTCCTGACCTGCTCCAGCTTGGCGCATTTGGGGGAGCCCCTCTCCAGCAGGAGCTTCTCCGTGATCTTCGACATGGCCGGTCCAGCACAGCTCGCAGTCGCCTGCACAGACACGGACAGCACGGCCGTGTGAGTCCTCACCCCTCCGCCTATGGGCACCACTGCGCTAGGGCGGAGCTGCACCCGGGTGCGTGACGCCCACTAGAGGCCGGGGCCCCAGAGACGTGGGGACAAAGCGAGAGATCACCTCATAACAAAAGAGCCAGAGGGAACTCTAAAGGTGTTTTCAGGTTTAAATTAAAGGCTTTAAAAAAGGGGCGTGAAACCATATTTTTCTTTTTCGCGAAAGTCGTTAAAGTCAGCCCTAACGCAGGGTGCTTAAAAAAAGAACACCTCTCGACCAACTTTGCATCTCAAAAGCCGGGTGCCCAAGCTGTAGGAAATGTGACTGCAGAAGAAGAAGAAATGAAACACGCCCCCAATGAGAAGAATACAGGGACATTATCTTCACTTTAAATTACAAAAGGCACCGCTTAGTCGTTTCGTTTCGACTACGGCTTTTCGCAATCAACCCCAAAAATTAGCCCCTGCTGTGATGAAACTCGCAAAAGGACTATGGCGAGACCGATCACATACTGTATATAATACTACTGCATCTGCGAGAAACTTCGCGATATTAAAGTTATCTTCATTAAACTGTCAGACATCTAATGCACTTTACAGTTAATTGATATGCACATGATTTTATGAACAGACTGAAAGACCCATTTCTTTGAAGCAAATGTGCTGTGCGTGAAACATTAATTTGCGTGTATACATAAAATAGGCATCTCAAAACTTCCGCCAGTAGCACTTCATGAATACCCCTAAGCACCGGCGACGATTTCAATTCCAAGAAAAAAAAAATACACAATGAGTATCATCTGCCCATTCCATCACCAAACACGTTTCAGTCACTCATACTTTCAAAAAATGATTGATTGGTTTAACAATGTCAGATTCCGGATAAGAGACACACCAGTTGAACGATTAGATGATTACAAAGGTTAAAGCAGCGAATTAAAAAAAGGCAAGAGGCTTTGGAGGAATGTGATAAACTTACTTTCCAGCTGTAGACGTGCAAAAGTTTCCCGGGAAAATTAAACTTTCACCTTTGACCCGGACCGATGACGACACATAGCACAGTAGTTCCGCCATTTTGTGTGTGGCAAAGACGGTACATGAGGTCACATGGTTTAACCCGAGAGGGAAAATGAAATAAGAATCGTATCTTTTTTATCAACTAATTTGCAGTGCTTTATTTTTCTGTTTGATTGCATGATATTGACGGCAATTAATTTGCTTTTCCTGCTCTTTCTAATTATATTCAATAACGACAAAATGTTTAAACGTAAGAAAAGCTGCAAACGAGGTCGCCAACCGTAAATTTGTCCTGCATCCTGAAGAAGCCAGAGTTTGGGCTTCAACCACTCTGCTGGGAGATCTGTTACAGACACAGACAACTCTGTACGCAAAGAAGCATTTAGTATTTTTCTTAAACTACTTCCTTTCAGTTTCCATCTGTGAGCCAGTGCGTCTTAAAAATAATTACAACACCCACTAATATAATTACTTAAACTACGTACAACCTTACACATGAACTATACACCTTTCTCAACGAACATAGTGGAGAACACAGCCTCAGGCCACCTCCAAAAGCAGGAGCATGAACATCACAGCACAAAAAACTGGGATCTATCTGATGGTCTGTTGTGCAGTAATCACTCCAGATCTGACCTCCTCATGCAGCAGTGAAGTGGTCATAGCCACACTTGAAATTTCTGTGTTTCACCATTCAGCATCCTGTTCCTCTACAACGTTTAGTTTTACCAAACAAAATACCACATTCCTCAGAAGGCGAAGACTCCCTCAAACCACCGCGTGCACGCAGGCTCCATATCCACCACGGGACGTTCAGACAGAACACTGATTCATCTCAGACCTCAAATCAACAGTTTAATAAATACAGTCAAGCACGTACAAACAGCTGAACACAATTTCTTTCAGAATCAAGCAGAGACAACAGAAGAGAGGGATCTCAGCTAAGCACATGGAATATCTGCTCGGGGAGATCCGAACACCTGGGCCACACACCCCTGGGCTCCAGGCCAGAAGGTTTCCGCCCCAGCTGGACTCCCAGGGCCTGCTACACTGGGATCCCCTGAAAGCTGAGGGCTACGTCCAGCAGCTGAGAGCCGAGGTTCTCCTGCTCCCCCCCGGACAGGAACTCCGCAGACAGCTCCCGGAAGGTCACGCAGACCCGGCGGTCCCGAATGTCCTGCCTGCGGACCGCGTGCTCCCACTGGTGCCGCGCCTCCCCGTACAGCGCCAGCAGGGCCCGGCGGGGCAGGGGCACCAGCACCCACACGCCCCCCGCCCCCGCCCGCTCCCGGCTCATGGTGAGCACCGTGGGGGACAGCAGGTTGAGGGTGACCAGGCGCTCGCCCCACAGCCAGGCGTCGTCCAGGTGGGGGTCGATGGCGGAGCCGCGCTGGGGGCTGTAGTCCAGGTTGCACTGCTCCACGGGCTGGAAGCCCCCCAGCAGCGGCGCCCGGCCCATCCTGCGCACCAGCTCCCGGCTGCACGGGGGCAGGCCGCTGAAGCCCCCCAGTCTCACCCGCCGCTTCTTGAAGTTCACCTTGGGCCCGAAGTCCTGGGGGGGAGGAGCACAGTCACTGGGGCACCACAGAACGATGGTCTGACGGTGCGGAAAGACACGTCTCTTATAAAACCCCACACGACGCAGAGACTGGGGAAAGATGCTTGCGGAAATATCAACGATTTTCTGAGATTTAAACTGGACCCTAGAAATCTGCTTCTGGACGAACAGCAGAGGCAGAAAAGTGCCCCTTGGGTAACGTCTGAATCGCAGGCCTGAACCAAATCACCAGAAACCAGTCGAAGCTGGACAGACCTAGCGTTCAGATGTTGAAGATCTCTAGGAACGAAATCTATCTCATGGAAAGAAATACCCACAGAATTAGCCATCAATTTGTAAAAAGATCATCAAAACTGGAAAGCTATGTTGAGACTCTCAGTCATGTGATAGGAACAAAGATGCAACAGACTATACAAATGATGTAAAAAGTAATTCAACACTGTCTGCTTCTTTTTTATGTATGTGGGAAAAAATAATATCATTAGCCCCCGCATAATGACAATAAAGGATGTAAAAAAGCAGATGCAGGGTTTTTCCATGAATCAGCTGTGCATGTCGTTTCCTGGAGAGTGCTGTTCATTTAGAGAAGCACTCGTCGCTGGGGGAAAGAGCACACGGAGAAAAGACACGAGTCACCGAGCGCCTCTCCTGCTACCGGACCTGTTTCCTGCGGCCGGACTGCGAGTCCCTCCAGGCGTCCCGGTCCATCGCGCTCACCAGCTCCTGCTCCTCCGCCTCCGACACGAAGTTCTCCCACAGCAGGACCCCGGGGAACGGGAAGGACTCCTGGACTCCTGGAGCCTCCGCTCTCACCGCCAGCCCCGAGGACGGCTCGTACACGAAGACCCGGCGCGGCTGTGTGGCCAGAGAAACCGCCATGATGTTCACACCTTGCACGGCTCGCTCACGACCTGCCGCAGGGCCTTACCGCCACGCAGCGACACGTGACACGTGCTCATACAAACCCAGACAAACACAAAGCCCCCTTTAGTGCTGTGCTATACATCTTAACACCTTCACGAGTAAAACAAGAATGTTTAGGAATATTTAAGAGTCTTCTGAAGGAGGAGAGAGGTAATCTGAGAAAAGCACCAACAGAGTGCTGGACCGTCGGGGACAGGGTCACTCCAACAATCCAATCTCTTCAGGCATTTTTTTATCAGGGGAAAACGACAGCAAAAAAAGAAGTCAGAAAGTGCTTTAAAACTCTGCAGTCAGGAACTGTCCAGCTACTATAGTATAAAGATCTATTTTATGGCCCCATCTGCTGGGGATTGTGTCCAAATCCAGTTCCCCAGGATTCTATCCAAAAATTGCTTTAATAAATACAAGTATCCCAACAATAATGATGCTGAATAGAAAACAAAGAATCACATGGAAAAAAGCTGCATCTCAAAGCATTATACAGCACATCAGTTTGCTGTTTCCATTTATTAATGAAAAATTGTGCAAATATAACTTTTCAGATCTTCTCTTAACTGTAGGGTGAACTGCATTTACCAGATGGTGGTCTATATTTTCAGATGATTGATAATGGAGTGTATTATTTAGTCATGAATGTATCGAGTACATTAAAAAGGGGGTAAAGTCTTTTTTTACCATTCGGACTGAAAGCATTCTTAAATGGATTAGTTGTATACAATCCCACAGCTCATTTTTTAAGGTATCCTTGTAGCGGCGAATGTAATGATCAAAACAAAGTAGAGATTCTGAAACTTGATTTTACAGTTTAAATAACGCCAAAGAGCAAAATCTGGTGTATGAAACTTCTCAGTACACGTACAGTGTGACATCGTACCTGCTGTACATTAATCCGGTTGTCCAGTTTCCCATTGCGATTTTCACAGATCAGACAGGAGCGGATTCCTTTACAGGCACAGTTGGCTTGTAACACTTCTTCGTCCGCCATAAAGGTAGACAATCCCACGGTGTAAACACGACCATCAACAGGGAGCGATCATCACACAGCACCACCACAAAAGCCCTCCAGTGTTACATCCAAATGTGCCCCCCGGAACTTCTTTCCGCCAAACATGGTTCCACATTGTAACGGATTCGGGTTCTCCGGGCATGTGCCCTCGAACCTGGGTCTCCGGCGTCATGCAACAGTATCTATACCTAACAGTACAATATCTAATGCGTAAAAAACAGCAGCAGTGATTGTTTAAGAAACAAAATTGAGATATTCTGCAATAAGTGATTGTTACTTCAGTGTCCAGGAAGCTCCCATTCGTTTTTCATTATCCAACAGATAAAGTCTTTGCTTAAGCAAATAAAATCCTAAAAATGAGCATTTACTGTTTTTTAACCCACAGCATGTGAAGAACATCAAACAAATCGATACCCTTAGAAATCCAGGCAGGAGAGTTTTAAAATAAATTTCTCATCGGCTTAATGACTTTTGACGAAAATGAATTGAAACTGGGAGTTCTACAATTTACACACTCAACATCCAGTTAAAACAAAACACAACAGTATACTTTTCAATTTTTTAATCAAATATTTTACAAAACGTAACATTCTAGTTATTTACAAGTAAATCAGGGTTTACCGACTACAAAGCAACATACTCTGGATGTACGCACATTATTAAAAACAATTACAAAAAGGGTGGGAAACACACATGTTCCTTGCGGACTAGTAAATTCAATTAATTGAGACCAGCTAGATGACAGAATGATTCAGACCTCTTAAGACAGACCTTCTCATGAAACAATAATATATTTGCACCTTGTAAATTAGTCTTGTACTTAAATACAAGATAGTTTTCAAAAACACACTGGCTGCCTTATGTTTCACAATTAAGATGCTGAAAAACCTGACTTTATTTGAACAGGTTGCTTTTGTTGGGGCTAAAGCATTTATATAATGCGAAAACAGTACTGAAAATTCAGACAGGGACGTCATAATTCACAAGCCTACCCTGTACATCTCAAATAATGACTAAATCAAACTTTATAGAATAAACCTACATAAAACGAAATCAAAACCTACTAGAACATTACCTGCCATAATCATTACAGCTCCTACAATAATTGCTTGAATGCTCTGACAGAACAGCTTTGGAAATGAAAAGGAAGACAGTCAGTGAACTAATACACTGATACTATGTGACACAGTAGGACATACAGCAAGGCACACCACTGGGCTCGGGGAGAGCTGCCACACGGGTGTGCCCTGCCATGGGAGCAGTTGGACAGGCCCTGCTCACGAAACACTCGGGTTTAATATAAATGCATGATGAACAGGGCTCTGATGGGGGGAAAGCTCTTTCAGCATCCAAAGTCGAGGGAGAAGCACTTGAGCAGGAGACACCGTTCATTCAATCCCTTCTTGTTTGTCCTTGATGGCCACCTGCAAGACAGATGTGTCAGTAGTCCCCCCCAACAACCCTCATCTCCCAAGAGCGAAACTCACACCAGCCAGGAAGGGCTTCCTGCCCCAGACTCAGAGCACGTCTCCAACAGACCAGGAGGAAATCACAAGCACTTCTGTTTGGGTTTTAGTGATAGTACAGCCCTATCACCTATGAGATGTTGAATTCTCCTAATGAATACAGGCCCGTTTCCAATCCCTGCTCAGTTAGGTGAATTTCTAACCAGTACTCCTGCTGGAATTCAGCATGTTTTCAATCTGGCTGCACCCCGGAAGATCACGGTGTTTGAAGTCACTCTTAAATCACTAGAACAGTTGATAATAAACAGCAAATACTTTCATCTCTTCTTAACTGGCACACAGCTTACAGCAGTGTCATGAAGGTTCAATGAATAAGATTAGACTATTTCATTTTCCATAGAAAAAAATAGCTAAAGGGTTTTATTTTGTTCCTGCTATACCACCAAGCGAGTTGCATGTTCCTCTGTAAAATAATTCTGTACAGCATGTAAATCATTTCTTATTGTGTACCATCACCTTGCCTCGGGCATCTACTGTCCACCCTCTGGCCCCAGTAATCTCCCTACGGACAGGCAGGTAGTCGAGACTCACCCTGAACCTCTCCTCCAACAGGGACAGCTCGCTGATGAGGTCAGTGATGGCGTTGGTAAAGGCCTCCTGAGGGCTGTAGTCCGGGGTGGTCTGCACACGGATCACAATCTTGTGCTCCAGGGGGTGGGGCACCTTATATCCCGCAAACAGCACCTGAGGATCTTTCAGCAGCTGCCTGCGGACATGTGAAGGTGGGTCACAGACACAGCGGTAAGGGGATTGAGCACAAGGAGCTTGTAAATCATCTCTGCTGGGCTCCAGGCCCGGAAGGGGTCATGGGAACTAAGCACTGATGCATCTGATATGTGAAAATAATAGGTGATGTAATCATCCTGTCCTAATGAAAACGATGCAAACATTTTTGGCCCTCCATAGAGATTTACACTTGGTTATAAATGAGATTCAGTTATAAATTGGTGCAGTGTAAACTACCTTGCCTAAAAGAAAATTCTCTCAAGTCTATGAATTGCTGACTTACGATCGGATGATATTGCCAAGGGTATGGTCCTCTTTGTTCAGAGTGAACAGACAGGCATTGGGGACCTTCGTGTCCTTGGTTATTGTAATTCTAAAGAAACAACAGAAACAAAGACAAACTGTAGGTACAGTCACCAGACAGAGGGAGCCTGAGCTACCCCAGCCTTAAACAAAGTAAGCATCACAGGCATTTTCTTTTACATTTCAATTACAGTGTGGCAATGGGGCTGAGCTCTAAAACTGGTGAAAAAACAGGCAGAATTCAGGACTTTAAATATAACGCAAGAAAAGGGTGCTCAGAAAGAAACATAGAACGTAATCACATAATACACAGCTTTTATATCCCACACCCTTTATATTACGGTTGTAATTATGACATTTAAATCTTTTAGACAAGAGAAGAAAAGAAACACAACGTTTCGCCCGAGGAGCCTTCTACGGGTGTCACCTCGGGTGATTATGAGGATTTAGATTAATACAATTCAACTCCGATAATGTATTTAGGTAGAAATCTGAACATTCACAAACTACGAAGGACACAAACCCGAACCCTTCCGCTCTCTGCACACAATATATACAAAGTATTTCTGACGTAAAACAACATACACTGATAAGACTTATTAAAAACCGTCCATACCACTAAAAAAAGGGGGGCAAATGTTTCTCAAAATAGGGTTTTGTTGAGATTTTTTGGAGGGAATAATGCTAAACGGTTTGGCAGAAAACGGAAAACATCGATAGCAAATTCCAGACGGAAGCAATCGATCTCTTTTCCCCCTCAAACGCTTCCGTCGAAAAGAAAAGAAAGCAAAACAGTCTTTCACAGGTATTTAAAACGCAGCCACGACCAGTACATTTTACGTTTTATAATTTAAAATCTACTTCTCCTCATACTGGGCCAAAAGCCTGGAGATAATATGTTTTCAACCCAGGAACAGCTTCCTGCCGATGAGCGAGGCGCTATCGCAGCATCTCTTCGGAATAATTTAGCACACCTCATCACAAAATTAAAAACACACGATTAATAAACGTGTACTACTCACTTTTTCTCTCCCTCGAACAACAGAAAGGACTCGAATGCCGGCGGCGCATTCATCTTGAAGTAAGTTGTCCCTGAGAAGGAGCCGGAGAAACGCGCCGCGGCGGAATTAGGACAGAGCAATGGCGGCCGCGGCAGGCCTGGGGTCCGGCCACCAGGGGGCAGCACACACCTGTCTGCTGACGAGCTCCCTAAACTACTACGACTACTAAACACAGCGTTGTATGATCATAAATAAACAATAATAAATAAGAATGCGAAATGAAAACCTTTCTTTTGAGAGAAATACATATAATTAGAAGAGTTACGAAAAAGAGATGCCTTTTTTTGCGTTGTGATGAAAAAATGACTGTACTGCTACACTGGGCGGTTGAGTAACTATGAAGTTTGGCAAACCGTCCTTCTTAAGTGACTGTAGGCTTGCATGTAACTCTAATGATCCTTATTAACAGTATCATAGTAAACACAGTGAAAAATGTGTTATAATACTTTCAGTAAAAGATTAACAGCACCATCTCAATCAGAATCTATTTTATTGTCCACAAGAAATAAGTGGACATTGTCCTTTGGCTTGACAGAGGCAATAATAAGAAACAGTGTGTGTATATATACACAGACTAATAATATTAGAATACTGCCTTGTATATCTTAGGGCCATGTAGTGTTTGAGTCTCTGTACTCACAACCGATGGATTGTGGGTTCAAAGCCCAACAGACCCTGCTGTGTCCCTTCAATGATCACAGCCTCACTCAATTAGCTCCAGTCCACCCAGCTAGCTGGAGTCATGGGCTCTGTTTGTTTAATGCCTTGGAAACCAGTATGCCTCTGGCCCAATGAGCTGTTGTGTCCTGGATATAGGAATACCCTCCTACCATTGTATATTTGACCATGGGTCTGTCATGGTGACATATACTGTACAACGGCAGAAATTGTTGCTTCTGTGCATTTTTCTTTTTTATGTATAGTTTATGTAAGATGCCTTGAGAATGAAGGTGCTAAATAATATATTTGATTGATTAAACGCTACCATGACTGAAAGTACAACAGGCATACATTATAAACTCTTGAGTCTCACATGCTTTCAGAGAGTTTGGGGCAACTTCAGATCGGTGCCAAGAATCACCGTAGCAAAGAGCAAAGCACGGTTGGAGAGTTTTTGATTTAACGAGCCAGAGGTCTTGATTTCTACAGCCTAGTCTAGGCTGTCACAGACTCGGTAGCAGTTTAGGAGTGTCCTAATTGCTGAGTATTGACAAGATATATCTCTTCTTTCTGTTTTAGAGTTTTTTTCTGCTTTTACATTCACTAGCAGCCAGAGGCAAGATGTGGATTCTCTTCTGTTTTTTCGGTGTGAGGTACGTGATGGAAAGCATGTGCTGAGGCTGATGTAAACGAAGGAAAAAGGAAGCTTCACGGAGACGTTCTTCTGTGTGGGAGGAGGGAAGGAGGTCAGGGGGCCACTGTGAAAGCAGTGCGCGTTTGATGAAGCTGAGAAGGATTCTAGGAGTTTTTATGGAACTTTTAGCAACCAGGCTATAAAACACTTCCCTTGGCTGGGACTCTCCATTTTTTCAAAAATACTACAAAACTTTAAACTGGCTTAGAAAAGAGAAATGAAATTGATGTATATGGTACCTGTCTTTCACTTCACCAGAGCTTTGGGAAAATTTACTGGATGTGTGTTTGGAGTTATGAAAAAGGCGGAGCCAGCTGTTGTGTTGTGTTGTGTTGTGTTGTGTTGCGTTGCGTTGCGTTGCGTTGCGTTGCTGGTGAGTGAGGGGGGGGAGTGAGTGGCTGAGAGTCACAGGGTTGGCTCTAGCCCCCCTCCCTCGCTCCCCCTCAGACGTTCAGTGCGGCAGCTGTTTTTCTACCACTTCCCCCTCGTCTTCTCTCCCCACTGCTCTGTGCTGCTCTCCTCTTTAAAGGAAGGCAATGCAGAGGCCTTGTCTGGGTCTGGGCGCTTGCTGTGATCACCTGCATGCCTGGACACAGGCCCTTTGCTAATCAGCTGCATGTGGGTGGCTCATCCAATCCATAAACAGCATCAGCCTCTTCCCTGGCATCTTGTAGCACGCTGACTGCAGGACTGTGTCCCAGTGACGAAATCCTCGCTAAATGTCTTAAAATGTTTTGTCCGCATTAAGTATCTTCTTTAGAATAGAATGCCCTTTAAGAAGTTTATTCTCCCTTGGTTAACTTCACACTGAAGAATAAAGAATTGTTTTTAAAGGCAGCTGGGGGAGAGCACTGAGACAGCGGCACTCACCCAGATTTTACCCATAGCACCAATTCACTTAATTCACAGTTAAATGACGCCTCAAAATAGATGCAGTCAAAGATAACTGAATGGTTGGGGATCATACACACATTACTTTGGTTAAAACACTTATCCTATCACCTATCACACTTAAAGCTGCTGACAAAGTCAAACCAGTGGACTTCTTCAGGGTCAAGAGTGAAACACAAACCAGAAGACATAAGTGGAAAGGACTAGGAAGTACATTTAAGGCTGAGATAAAGAGGCACTTCTTTACACAAAGGGCATTCGGGGTGTGGAGCAAGCTACCAAGCTGCATGTCGAAACATGACCTTGGCTTCCTCCTGAAGGATGAGCTCCTTTGATCTTCCACCTACTAGCAATTAAATGAGCCAGATGGTCTGAAACCCTGAACGGCCTCATCTCGTTTGTATCCTTATTTACCCACACAGTGTTTTACAATGACTTTTGCAGCTATTTTGAGAAACTACTGCAAATAAGGCAGACCCTTGACTGGGCCTTCACCTATTCCTTTGTGGCCTATGCATGCTGTCACAGCTCCCTATTCGAACGTCTTGTAGCAATACTGTAGGTTGCACATGCTGCATGTGTAGACTTCACACAGACATGGTGCCAGTGTGGGTGTCTGCAGTGTCCAGAGGTCTGGCTGTGCTTGTCAGGTGCTGTCAGCCACAGAGCCAGGGCTTCTCCATGGGCCACAAGGCACCTGGACAGCCTGGCCAGCTGAGGCCTCTTTCCTCATGTGTGTTGGGTTTTTTTTTCAGTTTTAGTTCCTCTTTGTACTTTCAACAGGAGTTTTTGCAGTCTTAAACCACTTGCCAAAAATCACAGGAGGTGGGGTTTGGGTTTTTTTTGGGGGGTGGCGGAGGGAGAGACCATAAAAAAACCACAAGGCATGTCTGCAGGATGGAAAATGAGTGCATACTTTCCACAGAAACAAAAATGAAGGTCTCTGGAATACAATCAGATCATATTGAATCATTTGGCGATTCTCATAAGAAAGAAAGATAACTAATATCACATTGAGAGGTGTATATGAACACTTTATAGTCAAGGCATTCAATAGACATTATAGAACTTTGCAAACCCTAGCAGTGTATCTGGAAATATCAGGGTAGAAATGTGAGTTTCAAAGACTTCATACTCTGTTAATCTTGGTTTACAGTATGTGCTTCTTCACTCCTAACCTCCTCTTTCACCTTTGTCTCACCTTCCTGTATGCGCTGTGTACTCTGTACATTATTATTTATTTAAATAAAGGAACTAGCAGTTGTTCGTTAGACTATGTTCAGTGTGTCCCCTGTATCTCTCAGCCTGTCAGGGAAGTTCGCCGTTTCATTGGGAAACTGAGTTTCACTCGACTGTCGCAAACGTGCTGGTAAGCATGTACATGTCATGTCCCTTGTGTAAGAGTGGCACTCTGGATTTCTACAGACAGTTCTCGCAACAAGCAGAGTGAGCCCAGTTTTTCAACTGTGGCAGGGTAAGGGCTAGGGTTAGGTTCTTTGGCAGTTGCTTCTCTTCAGTGAAATGATTGAATAAAATGGTGTTTTAACAGTCCATAGACAGCTAATTCCACCTTGTGTTTCAAATGATGGTGAGACTGAACCAAAATACTGCATACAAGTGTGAGTATATGGATATACAGTAGGTACTATCTGAAACCATTTGAGGACATTTCCAACTCCCAAAAAACAGCTCACCAACTATTCTGAGAAGGAGGAGTTTTTCAGAAAACAGTATTCCATATTCTGTCTGTTAGAAGCACACAGTTCTGTCTGATTGTTAGAAAATCAGTGTCTAAATCGATGGAGATTTAGCCAACCCCGACACAGCTCCCCACCCTAAGATCTGCACAGGATTAAAATCTCTTGAATATCTCGCCAGGGACTTGAAGGTGATATCTGCAGAAGCCAATTTCTAACTGTGTGTTGTCTGTTACAGGTTGTCAGCTGTGTCTGCTGGTTTTCATTCCAGCTGAGCTGCAAATCTCCAGTGCTGACTGATGATTTAAATGACCTGCTTCCTTGTTTTGATGTTTAACTTGATCCTCCTTCCTTTCCAGCAAATTATTTTTTGTCAAATCGCTCCAGCAAAATATACACCTGCATAAATGGGTGCAAATGTAAGTTACTTTGGATATGCAGTGTCAGCCATATAAATTCGTATGATTCACACATATGTCACAGCCAGTGAGTGCATTGTAATGGAACATTACACACCCATATTCAATTGCATGCTTTCTGTAGAATTCTTAACAATCCTCTATGGAGAGCTGATGGGGGAGTGGTCTTTCAGGGAAGCCACACCCCTCTGGTGGAAACTGCTTGGTGTAAGAAGTCCCAGCTTCACTGAGCTGCTTCATTACTGCCCAGTGGACCTGAAGTTTACAACATGGGGGAGATCTACATCCGTCATGTGGAGCTGTTGGGCTTCGAGAGGAGATTCATCCCCAGTCAGCACTATGTAAGTCCTGTGTAAATGCAATTTGATTTGCATATTTTGCAAAAGAGGAGTAAGCTAAGAAGGATAAACTGATAATTGTAACCAATATATAGAGCATTCATTAATGAACACGATTCACCTGTAAGACAGTATTGCTGGTTGTTTATACCTTCAATTTAAAGAGCTGTTCCATTAATTTGTTCAACATGTAAGAGAAGGAAAGTGATGTTTTTGATACAATCTATAATCTGTTTGGAACCAAAGACCTGAAGCAGTTTATTTCACTTATAGTGCTACTCCAACATTGTACAAGAGAATAGCACTGTGGGGCACCATATCGCTGAGACAGTGGTGAGAATCTCACTGAACACGGTGGTGTGATTATCTCCACCTGAAAGGAAGCTTCTAAATTAGGGCACATGTGCTCTGTTAACCCTTCAGTACAGGTGTTATCTTTTCTAAATACCCACCTTAAAGCATTCCTCTTCTCACAGGTTTACATGCTACTGGTGAAATGGAGTGATCAGTCAGAAAAACTGATCTATAGAAAATATCCAGAGATCTACACTTTCCATGTGAGTAACTGGGCATTCGTCTTATAATATTGGGTTTGTATCTAGCAGCAGTTTCGTTGCAGTGGTTGGGCAATGAATCTGGATTCTGTTTTTTGATACTGTTGGATGGATTGTATGAGATTGTTTTTTGTGTGTTTCTCGATTTTGTTAATTTGTTTGCTGTTGGCTGTGCAGCTGATTCAGGTTTTTGGAATGTTCTGAGCCCTGTTGTGCACTTCTGTGAGACAGAGACACCATGGATATTTTCTCCTACCCAGCGGTTAGGAGAGTCTTTTAGGGGCAGTTTATGCCAGCAAAACTGTTAACAACAACATATATAACTGGACATGGCAGAAAAGCACATATACGTGCACAATACTGTGGTAATTTAATATAGGAAAACAGAAGCTCATCAAATAGCCCCTTTATTTTAAAAGTGCACCTGTCTTTTGGGATACTCACCCCAAAGTGGGATATAAAGCAATTTACTTTTGCACATATATTCCTAGCACAGTTTATTTATGTACATGCTGTTAATGTTTGCTGATTTAGACAACTACAGAAAAAGAACCTTCTGCATGCTCAGAAATGAAATGTCTAAAGAAGCAAGAAATGCCAGTAGCATCCTAAAGTGAACCCTGGTGCTGGCTGCCTGCAGCAGCTTGTGCAACGCTTTACAGTGAATGTTCAGTGCCAACACTTTCTTCAGTGTTGCTCTCAGACAGGCCTTAGCAAGACCCATGGTTTTATTGGTATTTATTGGTATTTAGTGGTTCTGTTTTTAATGAATTAGGATTGCAGTTTTTCAATTGATGAGTTCCCATCCTGCTAACTGGCTGCAATATTCCTGTTAGAGTTCTAGGCACAACATTCCTCCAGTGCAGCTGGGAAAATACCACTAGGTTCCAGTGATTTATTACTTTCAAGTCATCTTAGTCCCTGTCACTCATGTTACAATTATTCAGCTGCAAGGAAGCTCCTTCTAAACCCTGTGGGATGGTATTGACATCTCCTTTAGTATAACCTGCATGGGGTATTCTTTGATCAAGTTTACTATTTTTCCACTTTCTAGTAATAATTATGTGTTGTCATCTATAGAGAGCTCTCTTCCATTTGACTTTTATCAGAATTTTGCTGTTAAGTCAATAAGCCACATACGTTACAGTACGACCACTCTCCTGTTCACTGTCTCCACTATTACCAGTTCCGCGTAGACTTTAAAATCCTCATGCTCACCTACAAGGCTTTACATGGCTTGGCACCTCAATACCTGTCTGAACTTTTATCGCCCTACTCCCCACCTCGCAACCTCCGCTCTTCAAATTCTGCTCTCCTTACTGTCCCCCAAGCCCGTCTACATTGTATGGGCGACAGGGCCTTCTCCTGCTATGCCCCCAAGCTCTGGAACTCTTTGCCCAAGGATATTAGAGAGTCACCTTCTCTAAACTCCTTCAAATCCAGACTCAAAACCTTCTTCTTCAGAAAAGCCTTTACTTAACTGGTTCCATTCTTCACCCCTCTGCTCTTCTTAATACCATCTTCCACGGTCTCCTCTATCTTTATTGTTGTATTGTTGTAATTATAATTGTGTCCTGTCTTGTGAAATTTTCTTATTTATTGTTTAGTATTCTTATTTATTGTTATTGTCATCCTGTAAAGCGCTTTGAGAAGCCACCTTTAAAGGCGCTATATAAAATAAAGTTTATTATTATTACTGTTGTCTTCAATTGTTCCTAAGCAATGCTTTGACATTTACTTACAAAGTGAACATATTTAATGTCATAATTCTCCAGTGGTTCAATCGCATGCAATCCTTTTACTATGCCTTGGTTATTTGAAAAGAGTATAAGATAGGATCACTTTATTAGCCATATACAATTTCTTGCATTAGGAATTCATCTTTTCACATACCCCAGCTTGCTCTCCATGAGACACGCAGGCAGGGAGAGAAGCTTGGGGTCAGAGCACAGGGTCAGCCGTTGTACAACACCCCTGGAGCAGCTGGGGTTAAGGGCCTTGTCAGGGGCCCAGCAGAGTAGGATTCCTCTGCCAGCCACAGGATTTGAACCAGCAACCTTCCGGCCACAGGCACAGATCCTTAGCCACAGTGCCAACGCTCCTACAGTATGCACTGTAGGTCAGTAAGTAGAGAGTGATAGGCACCTTTGTGTTAAGGACCCATCATCAACTATTACAACTAATAACAGATTTATTTGTGTGAAACATTACTTCAAAGCAAATTAGATTTGCACAGCTTGGGATTTTTGTGATTCAGCTGCAGTATTTGACTGAAGACTGCAATGTCTTACCTGGATTTTTAACCCACCACCTCCCACTGATGGGCCTGGGACTCTAACCACTGTTCACACCCTTACTCATGTCAGCTGGGAAAGGATCATGTACATTCCAGGTTCAGGTTCCCATTGACACTGTGCCAGTTTGTGTGGGGATTGCTGCCAAGACAAGGAGAATCATGAGGTCAGCAAATCACAATACCACCAGTAGGACTAAATATGAGAACAAAACATTCTGTTTGTTTCTGACTGCTTTTGAAACGGATGTGCTTTAAAAAGGAACAATCTAGAACATAATAATAACCTGGGGTGTCACCACGCACTAACATACTGTTTACTTCAGCACATTGTAACTTATTACTTGTTCTTGTGCAACAGGGCTCGTTGTGCAAGCTGGTTTTGGAAAAGGACAGTATGCAAGCCTTTGCAGGGGTTTCTCAAAATGGCTTGCAGCACAGGCAAGATTATATCGCTGACTCCCAGTCTCTGATCCTCCAGGAGGGTCTTCAATCAGGAGCAGGAAAGTGTGAGCCTGAGTGATGCCATCTCACGCTGGCAGAGTGGCAGAGTGGGAAGGCTGCCTGTCTGGTTCACGTCCTATGCGGTTCTTTCAGGAGAGTGGATTCCTGAAGGGATCAGAAGGGATCCAGTAACTGTAGTGAAACGTCCTTGACTGCTCTTTGTCGCACGCTGCAGAGATCCCTGACGGAGCTTTTTCCTATTGAGGCCGGTGAAATTGATGCTAAAGACCGGATCATTCCCGCCCTACCAGGTAAAGACATTTCTATGCATGTGGTGCTTCTATTGAACCCTCGGGGGTTTCACATAGAACTCTTCGTCAGAAAATCATCATCAAAAACCTCATATGAACGAGGTTCAGATCTTCTCATTTATGTAATTGAAGTGCCAGGCAGTGTCACATGATATGTGTTGATAACGAGATGTTCTAGTCTCGGTTGTCAAAGGAGCTTGTGTATTTTTGGCCCCGGAGACCTCAAACCATTGAGGCCAAAGTCTATATTGCAAATGGGGTTCTGGGAAGATGTACAATTACAGTATAAGACAAGGCGAGCAACAATCACCATGTTAAAAACTGAGGTACCAGCCTAAAGCTTGACAAAGTTCAGGACTGGGGAAGCTCCTAGCAAATGGTATTTGATGTTGAGTGGTGAGACAGGCTAAAAGAAATGAACTGTTTTAGTCTTGAACAGAGAAGAGTTCTAGGGAACCAGATTCCAGAATTTAGAATCTGTCAAGAACAATTCTTCCCGGGCCCTATGCAGACAACATGATCTGGTTGGTGAGGACACAGTAGGGAGAAAATCATGCAGGAGAAGGGTAAGGAGACAGGGGGGGCGTGTCCAAGGTGAGCAGGTGTCCGGGGGAAGTGAGTCCAGGGCGAACAATCAAAGACGAAATCCAAGAAGAGTAGTCCAATGCCAGATGATCCATCTGAAGGAATTAAAAACCAGGAGCCGGGTCGGGACCGGCGGGGGGAATCGGGAACGAAGGGATAAAACCATAATGGAGCCAGACGCAGCAGGACCCCGGATTCTCACGAAACGGGATTCAAGGATGAACCTCGGCTGACGTCTGCGTCTGGCTTTTAAGGGGGAACGGAAATCAGAAACAGGTGCAGGTAATGGGCAGAACAAGGAAGGGCTGGAGCGCCCTTAAGAGGAGCAGTAGCGATCTTGACAGAATCCTCAAGGCAATGACAAAGCCAACCCAATACATTTCTTCAGACACAAGGGGTGCCGTTGGGGCAGTGCATTTGAGCAGGGGGCACAGTATGCAAAGGATTGTGGGGGTGTGAAGCAGGCTACTCAGCCACAGTGTCAAACCTGATGGCCTGGCTGATGAGTAACCCAACAAGTGAGAAAGGCTGAATGCCTAGTCCTTCTGGCTGTCAGGAATCTGCAACTCAGCGCAACTGGAAGAAATTTCTATGTCAGATTCATTTGTCTTCCTATGTATTTCTTTGTCCTGATCTGCTTCTTTTTTTTGTGTTGTAAGCATTTAGTAACAAAACTAAATCTTCTTTTGGTTTCCAGTCTCATGCATAGAAAGCCTGTGGTTTGAAGACTGCAGACAGAGCTATTTTAGCCAGAGATGTGTCCATTTAGTGAGGAAACATCTGTAGCCAATCAGGCTTGAAAAAGAGGAAGCATACTTTTTTAAACATCAACAACAACACACCTATAGATCTGAGTCTGAAAGGGGCTTGCAGAACTTTGCACTTGTTTGCCATTGCCCAAGGCAGTTTGGCTTCCTGCCTATTTGTTTTTATCTTTGCAGCCTTTCCGACATGTTTTGCCCCAGAGGCATTTATCTAGCTGTTTGAACCACTTCTGCCAGGTTTGTGAAATTATCTGTGGCTGCACCTGTGGGGTGCACGATCAGATAGTGATTGGTAGCACCAAAGTGAAATAAATAGAGTGGATAGATTTACCGCACTTCCTTCTTTTAATTCAATGCATTTTCTGTGTCTGTGATGTTTACTTCTCTATTTTCTGTGCTGAGAGTGAGGAGACTTTGAGCCGTGACCAGTGAGCATGGACATTTCCTGGTTGTTTTAGAATTTTCTGATAACTATTGTTCAGGTAGATCTTGGTGTTTCTCCTTGTTTTATTTCTGCTACCAATTTTAACCTTCAGCCCTTTGCTAGGCTGCCTCCACTCTGCCCTCAATGGTTTCAGAGCATCGTTGCTGTGTAAATGTGCAGACAGATGCTTCGCAGCTTCTCTATCCAGTGAAAAAATACTCTGAGGAATTTAACATCCATTTTGCAAAATCTGGATTTTCTTCCTCCACCATTTCTATTCTCCAGATTACCATTATCACAAACCACACCCCAGAGAAGTACATACTACTGGGTGACCACGGAGCTGGACTGCCATCAGCTGACAGGAGTAGCCTTAGTTGTCCGAAAGGTTTTTCAGTTCTGTAGATTCCTCGTGTGGGATTTCCTTTGCAGGATCCATAGTGTCCGTGGCCTGCACTAGTACAGTCCCTTGCAAAAATACACATTCCACTGCAGTTCTGCACACTTTGCTGCCATCTGAGCTTGAAATCTTTAAACATCATATGTAGAATCTCCACATTCTGCTTTATCTGAAGTTACGCCCTCTGGAATAGATGGGTTGTGCAGACCTGGTAATAACATTTTCTTGTTTTATGAAATTGCAGTTTGAAACGTGCTTGGTCTATAAAAAACATCAGTACCCTCTGGACAACATGGTGTAGCTAGGATACTTTGTGATTAGTACTCGTGGACACAAAAAGGGCAAAAAGGACCATCCCACAGTGCAAAGCTGGTAGAAAACCCATCCAGAAATAATGACAGCCGTAATTTCTGTAAAGGCCTTTTCCTCCAAGGGGGCTAAGGGGAGCGGAGTGATCAGCACAACCCACTCGTCGTATCTTCTTTACAGGCTTTGCTGAAATTCAGCCATCATCTATAACAGGAAATACTTTTACAAGACTGTTTATGTCTTGAGTTGGTTTGATTGTCAGGAAACCTCTGATAAAGCACCAATCACATAGCCTGTGCAATATCGTATTAGGTGACATTTCATTTTTACCTAAAAGATGTACCTATAGTGAGTATCCCCTATATTCCTTTTTTCCATAAATATTACCAGCATTGTATTGAAATACCAATGACACAAGTGCAGACGGTCACTCATCACCTAGAGAGGCATGCTTCCCATGACTCTAACACAGATGTGCACAGTTTTCACAGCCTTGGCAAGTAACCTTTTCTTACTGCAGGTAGATGCATAAGATGATGTTGCTCACTGAATGAAGAAACTCTTAGGCAAATGTGGTCACTATTTCATCATGGTTTGGAGAAGAAGAGAAAGGAGAAGGCTGTGCAATTGCAGCATCTGTGTTTAAGCACTATGGAGATAAAGCAAAACCTAACCTAGCTTCCCCTTTAACACAAGCTATGCATTCTGTAACGGACGGATGGTGCAAACCTGGAAATAACGACTTTGCTTCAGATTTTCATGGGTAATCAAAACAGCTTGGTCTGTAAAAAATAACTTCCAGACAACACGGTACGTTTAGAGTCCCTTGTGGTTAGGACCTGTGTGCACAAGGAGAAACGCACTGAGGGCTGAAATCAGGAGGAACTTCTTTACACAAAGAGTGGAGGGGGTCTGGACTGGAGCAAGTTGCCCAGTTATGTTTTGAACCTTTTTCCCTACGACACTACAGGAGTGTCCTGGACAGGACAGTATTAATGAAGTGCTAGCAAGCAACTGAGTGAGATGGGGTCAATGGGAAATATGGCCTCCTCTGCTCTGTAACCTTTATTGAATTCCTTGCAACAGCCATTTCTGAACATGAGAAAAGTGGGGGAGACAGCTTGCAAGAGGGGTGCGCCCTGAATCCCAGACACTCGCCAGTCTTGGAGCAGTGTGTGTTCCAGGGGGGATCCTGGCCATTTCAGAGAAAAACTCCCCCGACTGGCAAACAGCAACACACACACACACACTCCCCCTGTCCGTCTCCCTCTCTCTCCAGCTCCCAAATGGTTTGACAATCAGAAGGCGACGGAGACGCGGCAGGGGACCCTGGCGGAGTACTGCCACTCCCTCATCAGCCTGCCCCCCAAGATCTCGCGCTGCGAGCTGGTCCGCAGCTTCTTCCGCGTGCGGCAGGAGGACGAGAGCCCCCCGTCCTCACTCCCGTGAGTATGACCCCCCACCCCCACGGGCGGGCAGCCCACGCTCACTGGAATCACGCCACCCTGCCCCGGGTCCCAGTCCAGGATAGCTGTGATGCGACTTGGAACCCGACTTGGGTTTTATCCACGTGCGCCTGTCGGTAATCACTCAACATCCTGTACGTTTGCACCCCTGGCCTCCAGTGGGTCCACATAGGTCGATACACACTTCAGTCACCGTTGGTAGTGGACTCCTGATCTCTGAAATGTACTGAATGTGTCCTTGGTTGAAAACGGTTACATACAGCTTATTCCAATTTCATGCAGTATATGACAATTGTGTATAATACATGATTATCACATATTGTACGATTTTTTGTAGTATATGATAATTGCATAATGTACATTTCCACCATGTGGCACAGTGGCGCAGTCGTTAGCATTACTGCCTTGCAGTGCTGGGGCCCTGGGCTTAATGTTTGCTCCAGTTTCCTCCCACAGTCCAGAGACATACCTGTGACCCTGAACTGGAAGAAGTGGTTAGAAAATGGGTGAATGGATGTGACAAGCAGTACATTACAGCACATTACAAATACATACTGTACAATGCATGATTATCACAAACATAGTGTATCACCACCGCACAAAGAAAATGTTGTTGCATTAAATAACTACCAGCAAAATACAGAATGTACCCTTTTTCAAGGATAATGAGATTTATTTCTTCTGTAGGTTTAAGAGGAATGAGACGTACCTGATGCAAAAGGACAAATCAAGAACGAACACATCTGGTGAGATATTTCCTTAATCCCTGTGTTATGTGTCCTTGGTTAACAACGGTTAACTATCTGTATAAGGACTGAGTGAGGACTACAGTGTGTTATGTTGGGGAAACTCTTGCTTTCAGAGGCTAGGTTATCTGAAAGCAGTATGGGATACTATTCTGTACCATTTATTTTTTTCTGAAACTCCCTGTAACTGTGCCATCCCCACATTTTCCATCAAAACTTCCCAGGCTTTTTAGTGCAGTCCTGTCTCTCTCTTGCTTGTCCCCACTAAGTATGCTGGACTGTAACACTGCAGCCCGATTACTGACCATGTCCCTCCCCATGTGGCTGCAGAGATAACTGGCCCGATTATCCTGGAGACCTACAGAGCCATTGCAGATTACAGCAAGAGCACCAAGTATGAGCTGGACCTGCAGGCCGGGGATCATGTGGAGATTGTGGAGAAGAACGACAATGGTGAGGACAGCAGCCAGCTTCGAGCATGAGGGTCGTTATTAGGAGCCTCGGTGAACATGGCAAGATCCATCCATCAGTCTTCTAACCTTTATCCAATTTAGGGTCACCGGGAAGCCAGAGCCTATCCCAGCAAACAATGGGCACATGGCAGGATTCAACCTGGACAGGACAGGAACACACAGACACAAACACTCCCACACTAAAGCAAATTCCCCAGAATCCAATTAACCTACCAGTATGTTTTTAGACTGTAGAAGGAAACCTGAAGAAGTCCTCTGCAAACATGGGGAGAACATACACACTCCACGCCCCAGGTCTGGAACTGAACCCAGGGCCCCAGTGCTATGAGGCTGAAATGCTAACCACTGCTCCACTATGCCCTATGCGCTACGCAACTTCTCTTGTTCAAAATATAAAGTCTTTACATCGAACCAGCCAGAGCCAAATGGCTTGTTTGTAACCAAGTTCCTGGAGTAACAGAGGGAGCAGGAGAGGCTACGTGTACTGGTACTGATCAACTAGAACCCGGAACAGCATGGCAGAACCTTAGGGTCTGCAAGTCATAGAATAGGAAGCAAGCAACAATTGAAATAACAGGAAAAAAACCCAAGTTAAGACCCAAGATAAGTTCTAATGCTTACATCTGAAATCAGATTCAGAGATTCTTCAGGAAAACAGGCAATGATCTTTTTTTTTTTTATGCCAGCAGCCATATCACCCTGCAACTCACAACTGGCAACCCACTGAAGCTAAGCAGGTGTGAGCCTGGTCAGTACCTGGATGGGAGACCTCCTGGGAAAAACTAAGGTTGCTGCTGGAAGAGGTGTTAGTGGGGCCAGCAGGGGGCGCTCACCCTGTGGTCCATGTGGGTCCTAATGCCCCAGTATAGTGACGGGGACACTATACTGTAAACAGGCGCCGTCCTTCGGATGAGACGTAAAACCGAGGTCCTGACTCTCTGTGGTCATTAAAAATCCCAGGGCGCTTCTCGAAAAGAGTAGGGGTGTAACCCCGGTGTCCTGGCCGAATTTCCCCCCTGGCCTTTACCCCATCATGGCCTCCTAATAATCCCCCTCTATGAATTGGCTACATTACTCTGCTCTCCTCCCCCACTGATAGCTGATGTGTGGTGAGCGTTCTGGCGCACTATGGCTGCCGTCGCATCATCCAGGTGGATGCTGCACATTGGTGGTGGTGGAGGGGAGACCCCATTACCTGTAAAGCGCTTTGAGTGGAGTGTCCAGAAAAGCGCTATATAAGTGTAAGCAATTATTATTATTATTAATGATCTTGTCGCACAGTTTGACCTGAAAGGTGCCTGCTCTTCTTAATGTGCACCAGAAGGCATTGCTGTAGACAGTGTTGTTGCACTACAACCTCATGACTTTTGGGTCCTGGGTTTGATTCTGGACTGTGATACCTGCTGTGTGGAGTTTGCATGGCCTGTGTGCTCTGAGATGACTGGCACCCTGTCCTGGGCGCTGTCTGGTGTTAGGCCCTGTGTCTGCCATGGGCTCTGGATTGTCTCTACATGGGACGAAGAGGTTGTGAATAATGTATGGTTATAAACTGAGCTTTGACTTCATTAAATACGGCATAAAATAAAAGAACATCAGATCAAACTGCCTGTCTTAAAACAAGTTCAGATTTAAAGGTATCTAGAAAATCTGCAAGCAATTCAAAATCAAGTTCTTAGGAGACCAGATGGTCTAGCTGGGCTTGTTTACAGAAACAAGAAAACTCTGGGAGCTGGGATCAGCACCAGCAGAGCCAGTTGTCTCCTGTCGGGCTAACTCGGCTCTCTGCCCACATGTCCGCAGGCTGGTGGTTCTGCCAGTGTGAGTCTCGGCGCGGCTGGGTGCCAGCCTCCTATCTGGAGCCTCTGGAGAGCCCCGATGAGACAGAGGAGCCGGAGCCCAACTACGAAGGTCAGCCTCAGCCCCAGTTCTGCTGACCTGGGTTAATCTGGAATCTACGGAGAGCTGGAGGCAGAGCTCGGCTTGTCTCTGCAGTATCTATAAGAACAAATTTGTTATTCAGGCTTTTAACTCTTGATGTGCAGAAACAAGGGAGTGAACCATAGTGTCAGTAACTGTTGCTGAACTAACACTAGACCCTAAAAGCTGAATTACGTAATCTCCTGTGCCATTTTGTAACTTTTAAGTTTCTCACAAAGTCTTATTGTTTTTTTAGCACTGGTACCAACTTGACTTGACAGGGCTTATATCAGAGTTAAGGACAGGCTCAGGCTGCTTGAGTTATTTCAATCGAATGTTACTGTATATACCACTGCAACACCAGGATTTATAGAGGGATGAAATGCAGTTCTTAGATTTTGAACTGTTGTAGACAATGAGAGTGTCTGTGTGTCTTCAGGGGAGCTGTACATCACCACTAATAGCTACACTGCTGTGGAGGATGACGAACTGACTCTGGGGGAAGGAGAGACCATAGAGGTTATTCACAAGCTGCTGGACGGTTGGTGGGTGGTCAGGTGAGTTCTCTGTTCTGGAGTATAACATGAGGGACAGCTGTCTCTCTGTGTCAGATCAGCACATGCACTGAGATCAATCTGCATAGTGGGGTCGAAGGTGTTGACTTAGACTGTGGCCTTAGTTTGGAAGTTCAGACTGCTAACATCGCCAAGGTATTCTGTTCACAGATAGCGGACATTCAGTCAAAACATATCTGTTTTAATGAGGAATCAAAATATATTTCCTAGTTTGTATGTTTAAGGAAACCAGCACAGTATGAGTGGAACACGGGAAATTGAATGAATTTAAGAAAAGGAGTGCTTCACAGTGTTTTAAATTGACCCCGTTAAAAACAGAGACTTTTGAGTGTGCTGATGGTGACTACTAAAGGTTAAAACTTATTTTTGATTTAACAACTACTTAGTCTTTTCTTATACTGAGAACAAGATTGTTCAGAACTGGGATGCATCAGTCCTAAAGAAGTCTTATGTGCGCAGACACATTTCTTTTGGCTTCAATGCATTAGCTGATTGTCATATTCAGGTTTAGTTTTAAGAACCTTTGCTTACGATCAGCAACTATTCTTGAATAAATATTCTCCAGTTTTGGAAGAAATGCCTGTGCCCTGAAGTCAGGAAGCTGATGATGTCTCCCTGCTGTGTGCCGCTGGCTTGTAGAGTCACACGTATTCCCATGTTTTTCAGTTTGAATTTCTGTAAATGAGTGCTGCTGATTTCTACTGCTATTTGCGCCACTGGCAGGAAGGGTGAGGAGACGGGACACTACCCATCCATGTTCCTGCGGGCGAAAGGAGAAAAGCTGGACACCACGAGGAATGAGAACCTGAGAAAAGCCCCTCCACCCAGGAGGTAAGGCAAAACAGGAAGAACAGCTGTCCAGCGGTCTGGGTACTGCGAATGTTCCTTTCCAAGACCTAGAAATTGAACCAATTTTCCAATTAAAGCCCCTTTTGGGAAAATCATGGCAAATGTACCAATTACACACCAAAAAACAATCAAATAAAAACACACAACTAGGGCGGGATGGTAGTGCAGTGGTTAGAATTGGTACTTTGCAGCACTGGGGCCCTGGGTTCAATTCTAGACGTGAGGTGCTGTCTGTGTGGAGTTTGCACGTTCTTCCCGTGCTTGCAGTCCCATGCTTCCGGGTTCTCCAGTTGCCTCCCACAATCAAGAAACATTCCGATACATTAATTGGCTTCTGGGAACATTGGCCCTGGTCTGTGTGTCTGTGTGTCTGCCCTGCGATGGCCTGGTGTCCCATCCAGGGTGTAGCCTGCCTTGCACCCATTGCTTGCCGGGACAGGCTCCAGCTCCCCAGCGACCCTGAATTGGAAGAGGCGGTTAGAAATGGGATGGGTGGACACAATTAGAGAAAATGGCCTCCTTCTCTCTTCCACAGGTCCACAATCCGGAATGCCCAGAGTATCCACTCTAGAGGGCGCCAGCGCATCACCCAGGACACCTACCGCAGGAACAGCCGGCGGTACCTGCAGCATCGCGACCCGCGGGGACCCAGGCAACAGGCCTCCCAGCCACGATCTTCCCAGCCAGAGGTGTCCCAGCCACGATCTTCCCAGCCAGAGGTGTCCCAGCCACGATCTTCCCAGTCAGAGGCATCCCAGCCAGAGGTGTCCCAGCCACGAGCTTCCCAACCAGAGGTGTCCCAGCCACGAGCTTCCCAGCCAGAGGTGTCCCCGCCACAGAGCCCAGCCAAGACGCAGCCTGTCCTGCAGGAGAAACAGATGAACAACGGTAAAGCTCTCCGCTGGAGCCCCGCAGGAAGCACAGTGCTGACTTTTTTTTTTAAACGAGCTGCCTTGACAGCTGTGACAAGACAATCGAGCAGCAAACTGAGCAGCCAGGCACGAACCCCCCTAACAGACAGCCATAGCCCAGGTGTGTCATGCAGGGCCTGACGCAGACAGTCACACAGAGAATGACCTTAACACCATCAGCATGGGGTCGCTGCAGGTCATCTGGGTGATTCATTGTTGTCTGAGGGCACTTATTTTAATGAGGACAGGATCCTAGTTAACATATTGCTTTGTAAAAGCTTTGTTTGAAAAAATCTGCATTTGGTCATCAATGATGATCATTATTGACTGAACAGCTGGATTTGAATGGAGCACAGTGCAATGTGTCACTCTGTGACAATACACTACAGCCTTCCAGGAGGCTGATTTTTGACCTCTGTTAATGCAGTAAGGCACTTTGCAACAACACGGGTTCAATCTCAGTCCTAAAACGTTTGTCCCTCCAGCATGACATTAAGATCCCCTTGCAAGGTGTCAGATCTGGGCCTCCAGGGTGAACCAACCATTATACAATTTAAGCAGCAGCTTTGTTGCAAGGTACACAGTGACAAAGAAACACAATTAGAACACGCCAGTAGTAACACCTATGCAGTGGTGAAGACCGAAATAAAAGACCATGAACATAACCATAGGGA